CCACCCCTCGGGTCGTTCGGGGTCCATCGGCGACTAGTCTTAAGTTATTCATGTTGCCTTTGACGAGTGGAGTTTTGTTTGGGTTTGTGATTTTAGTTGCGAAGCTGAGGTCAAAAGGGTCACTCGTGCATGCCTTGGTTTTTGAAGAAGCGGTGGCTCGACGTCGAGGGGACCCATGTCACTGTGGACGTTCGTGGCATTTGGAATTCGGACGTCAAGGCACGAGAGTCCTGCCCTCCAGGACTGCCCTGTGAACTGTGTGACTAGGTTTTGTTTTTGCTGCAGTTATAGATCGTGTGCACGGTGCCCCCTGTTGAGGAAACCCGCTGGTCAAGCTGGCGACGTTCAATGGGCCGTTCAGCCAGCCGGAGTACCAGCCGTGCTTCGAGCTCCTTTGCCCGATTGTCGAGGCCTTGTCGAAGATCGATGGTCGTTCGATCCTGCAGATCATCTGTTTCTGGATGCATTAGTGTCGTGTGTCGTTCACGTGTGGTAGTTCGTCGGGCCTTTCGGGTTTTGTGCCTCTGCTCAGTATTGCGAGGCTCACACGGCCGCAATCGGTCTGCGACACTCGGCGTGGGTTTGTCGGCGGTCTACGACATTCCGGTGTGGCTTCCGACTTTCGGGGGCCTTCAGAAGGAATGGTGGGCGATCGCGAAGTTGCCGGACGACGTCATGGGGTCGCTCAGGCAGTACCAGGCGGTCGCTCGTGGCCCCGTGCCGCCGCCTACGGCCCCGCCGTTCGACGGTGCCGGCCGCGACTACGGCCACGGCGTCTTCGATCCCAATGGCTTGGAGGGGTCGATGCCGTCGGTCGGGAATGCGGTCCTCGATGCCGCCCCTCAGCTTAACTCAGGTGTGTCTCTGGGTTTGTGCGTTTTTTGGAGTTAGCAAGTTAGGTTCGTTTGGACGTTTGGAAAGTGGCACCGTCGGTCCTCATCGAACTGGACCAGCTCCAAATCGACGAGCGTTGCATGCGGGTCACTCGGATGCATCAGTCAGTGTCGCTCGTCGCTCGGATGCACATATGTTAATCTTTCACACTCAACTAAGTCGGTCGCGAACCTGGCCGGCCACAGTGACGATGGGGCGAAGTTCGTGCGGGAGCTCTTCCAGGTCATTCAGCGAAACTTGGTTGCAACAGTCATGTGGGGGATGCTTTTTGTGGTCGTTCGTAGGCGGTTCGGAAACTGAGGCGAGAACTCCGACCGCTCGCAGTACGACAACCCGGCGGCCGCCATCACCTCGGCCGTTCGTAAGGAGCTGGACCGCCTTCGCCCAAACATTCCAGGACTGCCGGGTCGCTCGGGCTTTTGTTAGTGGGTCGCTCGTTCTGGTTGTCTAACTTATCCAGCAATTCAGCTTAGCAAGCCCAGGCAGCAGCGGCGACCGCCCTCCGGCGAACCTCGGGCCACATGCTCGGGCGGTCAATCGAGGGACTCCACCTGGTCCGCCGCCCCGAGATTTCGTGGACGATCGCCGTGACCTGAAGGCATTCAAGTAAGTAAGGTTCAGGGGTCACGACTGATAAGATGATTGTTTCTAAAGTGATGAGTCGAGGTCCTTTCTACGACGATCGTCAGTTCTACGACGATCGTCGTGGCTATGCTCCGGGCGATCGTCGTTATGATCCTCGGGACGATCGCCGCTATGGCCCTCCTCCGGACGATCGCCGTGACGATCGTTACGACGATCGCGATCGTCGTCCCTATGGCCCACCGGACGATCGCCGTGACGATCGTTGGGCGAACTATCGCCCCCCGGGCCGCCGCCACTACGAGGATGACGAGCGGCTCTCGGACCCGGGGCACCCCAGTCGTCCGGCGCCTCACTGGCTGGACCGTCGTGGCGAGCCCGTGCCTTGCTTGCAACTTTAGAGTTTTGGTCGTTCGGTTGTGTGTGTGTGTGTGTGTGTGTGTGTGCCTTCGCTGGTGCTTGGAATCCAGGATCCCCGCCGTCGCCGATACGACGACTATCGCTAGGTCGTTCGGCGTGGGCGATCGTGGTGACTTGTCTCTTGCAGCTGTTGGATTGCTTGTGGTATGGTAAGAGCGGCGAGTTAATCAATTAATAGTCTGCTGTGACTGACCCGACTCAGGCACCAGGGCCACATGATCGTTGCTCCACCATTTTGCCACAGCGGCCGTTCGTGGAGCCAAATTTTGGCGACAACCGGGCACGTGCCCGTGCCATGCAAAGCAGCCGAAAAAGGAGCTGGCCGTACTTGTGCAATGGTCTAGTCTTTCGTGCTTTGCGAGTGTGTGCTGCGATTTCCTTTTGCGTGGCAGGTGCTGGGCCGTTCGATGTCGAAGCAGGCCGGTTCTGGAGAAGCGGCTGGGTCCTTGGGTCTTTCGGAGTTCAGTGGTTTCCAGCAGTTCTGGTTTAGGTCGTTCGCCGAAACTCAGATTGCGACTTTCGTGCCGTGCCCGAGTGCTTTGTGCAGCTGAGCTGGTGGTAGCTTTAATTAATTTAAATAATATAGAGCCTAGAATAGAGTCTAAGTTTAATTTATAATTGGAATATATGCAATAATAGTAAGGAAGCCTAAGCCTAAGCTTGGGACCCAAGCTCCAAAACCCCATTACTAAACAATTTAACAATCAACTCGTGCATCCGCCCCTTTCTACCTGGGCCCCAACTCACATAACAAACTGCAATCCTGAACCTTGGCTGCAAAATTCGCAAAAGCACATCGGCAACTATTAGGGCAACACATAGAGGTATTGTGTATCGTCTTTATATGTAGTACAGAGCCATAAGACATTGCAATATATTTCAACATATTTTGGTTCATCATAGTAGTCACCGCAATAGCCCATGCAACAGTGAGTAGCCTGCCACACACCAAAATCCCAAAATAAAATCACTTTGTAGCCCCACCCTCATACTAAAACAATGGTGCAATTAATCCACCCTTAGGCTTGAAACAGGTTTGCACCAATATTTTGATTTTACCCTGTATCGCCACAACCGTATAGCTTTGGAAGGTGGGACGATCGTGCGGGGCGATTCCCGTCGTTGAGGTCGCTCGCAAGGCCGGTTTTGGTCGGTTGGTTTTTGACTTTGAAGCAGAGCCCCAAATCTCCGGTGTGGCAGTGCTGTAGCACAAATTCAAAGTCCCAAGGCTCCCAGCCCCAGGGTCGTTCGGATTCATTGATTAATCAAGGATAGACGTTGCATCAAACCCCGTGTGAAAGGAATCCTTCAGATGTCAATGTCACTGCTGTGCCAGTGATCGATGTGCCTGCGAAAGTGTGCATTTCCATTGTAAGGGCTCGTGCTCAGGATCGCATAGTTAGGCTTGCTTGGCAAAGTCCATCCTCTTAGGGTCGTTCGTGGCCCTTCGTCGCTAGCATGGCCAGGGCGAGCATGGGCAACAAGAGGGCGGTTGCCGTTCGCAAGCAGCAGGAGAAGGCGGCCGTCCGGAGGAGGCAGAAGGAAGAGAAGCTCGCCAAGCGTAACGAGAAGACCTTCGCCAAGAGCTTGGCCAACTTCCACGAGTCGTCGTTCGAGCGAGCCAGGGCGTTCGTCGACAGCCAGCTCGACGATAACCCGGCTTGGATCCACCCTCTGGCGGATCTAATCCGGGATGGCGCCCTCCAAGCCTTGCTGAAGTCTCCCGGGGCGACCGGCGATCAGTCAGGCAGATCGGCGGGTCCAGAGAAATGGGTCGGGAAGGCCAAGTCGTTCGGCGAGTTGCCCGACGAAGTCAAGGTCTTCATGCTCGAGGCCATCGGCGTGCGAATGTCCGAGACGGGGGTTCCGGCGGACGTTCTGAACAGCTTCTTCTCGATTCAGTTCTTCGTCCACGAGGACGTCCCATTGCCTGCAGGGTCTAGGTCGTTCGAGGTCTTGGAGAAGCTGGCCAAGGAGCGGTTCGCTGCCTTGAACAACCACAAGGTGGCCCCGTCCGTCGACAAGGACTTCGACGGCAACTGCTGGGCACTCGACGACGGTTCCGTGACTTTCGCCCTGACCGGCGACGTTCAGAAGCTCCCTGCCCTCTCGGAGAAGGACGTTTGGGTTTTGGACCATCAGGACTGCCCATGCGGCCGAGTCTACTCGCAGGCCAACCCAGCAGTGGCGTTCGAGTGCCGGACGTTGTTCCCGGATGTTCGGGAGATTGATCCGAAAGCCAAGTGGGCGTTGAAGAAGGCCAAGAAGGACTGAGCCGGTCTCACGGGGTAGGCCTTTGTCGTTCGAAACAATGGCCCTTTTCGGGTGGGGCTCCTTGCAGGATTTGAGTCAAGGACATGGGGTATGGCAGATGGAAGAAGAAAGAGCTGCGTGCATTGGGGTCGTGTGTGCGTTTCAGCTTTTTGGTGGTGCGTTTCAGGTGTTTTTCAACTTTTTCCCAGGGTTTTGGTAGTGTGCTGAACAATAGGGCCCAAGTTGGACATTTCGGGGCGTTAAGGGTTCCTCTGTTAGGGACACGAACCCTTTAGGGTGTTGTATGTGCGTTTCAGCTTTTTTGAGGTGCGTTTCAGGTGCGTTTCAGCTTTTTCCCAGGGTTTTTGCTGCGTACTGAATAATAAGGCCAAGGTTGGACACTTCGGGGCGTTAAGGGTTCCTCTGTTAGGGACACGAACCCTTTTAGGTGTTGTATGTGCGTTTCAGCTTTTTTGAGGTGCGTTTCAGGTGCGTTTCAGCTTTTTCCCAAGGTTTTTGCTGGGTTTTAAACAAGGGGTCGGAAACTACTGCGGACAGGCTCTGGCCACAGCGACTGCGGCCCGGTGCTCGGCTCCCCGTGGCTCGCTGCTCCTTCAGGCTGCTGCTTTGTGTTTCGGCAGTGTTGACTTTGTCTGTTGGTTCCGAAGACAGCCCGTGCTCAAGGCTAAGGGGTTGTCAGTCGAGGCAGAGTCGTGCACAGTTGCGAAGTGCGAGAAAGCCAGAACATCCCCAGGACTTGTGGCCAGAGTGTAAGAACCACAGGCAGTGCAGCGGGCAGACCACATTTCAGGTGTAAAGTTTGTAGAGCTTTAGGCCGTTCTCCGTCCATCATGGCGGCGGCCCAACAGGCAAGGGCCGTTGGAGCAAGCGACGTTCGAGAAGCACCGGCGGATGGAGACAGGGACGTGCGAGCTGTGGTTCTCCCCTGCGGCAAGAAGGGGTCCTTCAAGGGCGAGGTGTACCAGTTTCGCCGGCCCATCGCGGCGGCGGATGGCCGCTCGAATCCAGGAGTGTTTTTCTGGATCTTCCGGTGGATCCTTGACTTTTTGGGCGGCACTCAGAGTCACAACTTCGGCGGCCGCAGTCGCGACGTCATCGCCTCCCGTACGTCGTCCGTTCTGGCCGACGGCCTGTCGTCCTCCGAGGACGAGGCGATGGTGGATGGCGAAGAGGCCGAGGACATTCTGCCTTCTGCGGAACAGCACATGACTGCATCATCCATGATGACTCGCATCCAGCAGGTCCAGGATCAGAACAAGGGGTCAAAGAGGACCTCGCAGGACGAGTTGAAGGGCGAGGTCAAGGGCGAGGTCAAAGGCGAAGTGAAGGAAGAGGGCCAAGCCGACGAGGTCGACGAGGACGGTCCTCTCCAGAGAGGTGACTTCAGCCTCTCGTCGTTCGCTTGTCTTTGTTGGCTGGCCCAGCTGATGTCCAAGGGCACCCGGGCGAATGCGAAGTGGAACTTGGATTCAGCCGAGATCCAGGCCAGGGCAGAGGCCCTTCTCTGTGGCATGCGGGACTGTTTCTGGCAGGACGTTCGGAAAGGCCACTTCGTCGTGGTCGAGGGCGACTTGTCGGTCGAGACCCTCGTCACCGCGAAGGTGGGTCAGATGGCAGCAAAAATTTTTGCCAAGCGAAAGACCGTGCCAGTCGTAGAGGCTTTGAAGATCTTACAACAGGATGCCGGTCGAAGGAGCCTCTCTGGCGACCGTCGGCGTGTGGCCGAGAAGATCTTCAGTCGCTTGGTCCGGGCACTCGCAGATGCCATCGACGACTCTGCAGGAAAGACAGTCTGGACGGCCAATCGAGTGGAATCCTTGGACCAGCTGAGGACCCTAAGGGTTTGCGGGTGGATTGCTGGATGCCAAGCCAAATCCTAAACTTCCTAAACCCTGCAAATCACAACCCAGGGACCCTTTAGGGTCTTGTATGTGCGTTTCAGCTTTTTTCAGGTGCGTTTCAGCCTTTTTCCAAGGTTTTTGCTAGGTTTTTTAGACACCCTGGATATGCAGGACTGCCAGGGGCTATCGCAAGGCCTCACATGGCTGCCAGGAGGCCGTTCTCCGAGCTGGTTCGGAGGCAGGTCCCTCGATAGCAGCGGCTCTTCAGGCCCAGTCGCACTTCGCCTCTTCGGCGACCGGGGAGCAGCAGGGCAAGCGAAACAAGGACCGACCCGGGAAGTTCTTGGAGGCGGAACGTCTCTCGTACGTGGCCGCAGGTCGGCAGACGTTTGCGGCAACTCGGGTCCTCAGCGTCGTCGCCGATGCCGTTCACGTGGGCCAGGAGGACTGGTTGAACGTCTTTCTGTGCGACACCGAGCAGGACTTGTCCTTCGTGTGCCCCCAGCAGGCCGCCAAGGGAGGGCTTGCTATAGAGGGATTTCTGTCCGCGGGTTAGGTCCAGTTTCGGTGCCGCAAAACCATGCACTAAACGCTCCCTAGAGTCGACCATACATTTTAGGGTCCCTAAGCAAACCTGCAGTTATCGGCCCCTGCCAAAACCATACACCTAACGTTCCCTATTTCGCTTTTTGCCAGCCGGCGGATTTTCCCGGGCACCCGCCCTTGCCTTCTAGCATGATCACTGCCTTCCAGGCAAAACCATACACCTATCGCTCCCTAGCAAAACCATACACCTATCGTTCCCTAAGGGCCGCCCTCGCAAAACCATACCCGTATCGTTCCCTAGGTTTCGTGGTCCAAAACCATACCGTTTTGGTCCAAAATTGGAGCCCTTTTTGGCTTCGCAGGGAGGCTGCAGGAAGCCCTTTTGTCGAGCTTGTTGCTGCGTCTGCTTTTGCGTGACGGACGTGTTCGTTTTCGTGTTTCTCGTGCGTTTAAGAGCAGTACAGCACCCGAGGTCACAAACTCTGAAGCAAACCGCAGGTTTTCAGTTCGCTGTGTCAGGTTGGCTACTATATAGCCTTGCAAATGCAGTTGTTGAGGGCTGTGGGGGCGGGTTTAGGCTGTCGGACCGGAACCATTACTACACGGCAGCAGGCAAGGCTTCAACGTAATGATCTGGTTTACAATAGAAGTAGAACGAGTTAAGAGCTGTGTCTGTAGGTTTTTTTTAAAGTGTTTCGTTTTTTCGAAGTACAAGATAGCAAGTTTTCTGCTTTCCGCAGGTCAAGAAGGGGACGGCCATCACCTCGGAGGCTTGGACAGACATGTGGCAAGGCCGCTTGACGAGCTTTTTCCGGAAAGTTGGCACGAAGGGTCGCTCGGCGGACAAGGCCACCGGTGGGGTCAGGCAGCCTGAACGGCAGGCCACTCAGGAGTGGCTTCGCGACCTCTCGCACAGCCTCGCGGTCGTTGGGTGGTCCTGGTCGTGCTGCCGGAGGACGACCGACGAGGCCAGGCCGTTCGTCTTGGTCCTTTGCACGGACCAAGAGGCCACTCAGCTGGCAGCCGCCAACTACCTGTCGTTCGGCCGGCAGTTGTTCGTGCAGCACGTGCCCGACCCGGCCCACCGCTCGCACAACGACGTTCACCTGGCCATGGTAGCGGCCGGGCTCTTGACGTTCAGCATCGTGTCCATCGGGCTGTACAACGTTCGCTATGGCCCCTGGAATAAGGGGACGTGGTTCGGGAAGGTCCAGACCATGGCCGACGAGATGAGCCGCTCGATGTCGCCGTCGGACCCGCTGCTCCTCGCCTTCTTCCCGGACATTCTCGCCGACTGCAGGGCCGTTCGCAGGACGAGAACACGGAGGAGTCGCGACGTGCCTTTCTCGAGTCGCTGCCGAACAGGTCGTTCGTCAGGAGCAAAGGCAGCAAGGCCTCTCAGTCCAGGTTCAACAGCCTCAGCACGGCCCATGCCGAGCTCGACAGGGACTGGTCGGCGTTCTGCCTCGTCCTCGTGGTCATTTGCGTCGCGGAAGGCTGGGCCAAGTCTGCGGCCGACCTTTGGACTCCCCAGAGTGAGGTCGCCGAGAGTGCGGGCTCGTCCAGGGCTGCTGCCAAGTCCGCCGCTCGAAAGGCCTTGCAGAAGCAGCGAGGCCGTTCGGTGAACACTCTGCATGGCATGACGATGTTCGCTTGCAACCCGGACAATAAGTCGCTCGCCCGGACAGTGTTTTTCGTCCTTGGGCCAGAGGGCATTCGCTGCTCCAAGATGCTCGAGGACTTGCGATCGGCGGAAGCGACAGTCAAGCAGTACTCCGAGTGGGCACACTGGGAGTACATGACGGTCGCTCACGAACACGTGGCCAAGCTGTCCAATCTCGCCGCTCTGCAGCGGATTGGATTGGACATGTCCATGCTGCTGCCGGAGGAGGAAGCTCGAGAGGCGGCCGTCACCTGGCAGGATGCTGTGGCTCGCAGGGTCGTTCGTCTCACACAGCGGCTTCTTCGGTACCGGTGCGGCAGCCAGCTGCCTGCGACGAACGGTTGGGGGTCCACGGCTGGCCTTCTGCACCAGTCGACGGAGGCACGGCGTGCGAGCTTGAGCTTCCTCGCAGACGTGGACAAGACGGTGCAGGCTGTTCAAAAGGAAGGGTCCCTCGAGGCCAAGCTGCTGCTCGAAGGCCACCCGGCCACGGGGCCAGTCATGGCTTTGGTGCTGTCCGAGCTGCGAGCAGAGTCGTTCGTTGAGGTTGCTGCGGACACCTTGGCCTTTTTGCGTCGTTTGTGGTCCGGCCTCTTGAACAGCAAATTGGTCGAAGATGCAAACAAAGTGCAGCGTGAAGCAGAGCAGAGGAACGGGACGTCCAAGACCATCGGCCGCTTGGAAGGGTGGCATGGGCTTACGAGGAAAAAGTTGCTCGAGGCGGGCTACAAGAGGCCAGAGGTTGCCTGCGGTGCCATGTCCGTCGTTCCCACGAAATTCGAACCGGACCAATGGTTCCAACGGCCCAAGCGACTCCGTATGGCCGACAGTTTGGCCTCGGCGTCTACTGCTTCGACTGTCGAGGAGGTCAGCGACCAGTCTCTCGAAGAGGACATTCTCAAGGGCGTCAGCCTCGCGAAGACTTGGGCCTCGCACACACCCGAGTCGGAGCAAGACAGGCTTGCCAGCTTCTCGCTCTTGACCAAGGTTGTCAAGCAGGGCATGGATTGGACGTTCGTGGAGCAAGGCTGGTGGGCGTCCTTCGCGCCCGAAGGCCACGGACTGCTGTTTCCAGGGATGCCGCCGTGCTACGTGGTTCGCAGCTACAAGCGTGCAGCTCTCGTTTGGCCGGCCAAGCTGGAGAAGCTGGCCGAATGCGAGGAGATGCTGGTGCTGGACCCGGAGGCCCCTTCGCTGTGCTGGCTGCACTTGTACAACGAGGAAGTGGAGGTTCTGGACCTCGTTGCGACCTCCCCGCAGCGTGGCCTGTCGCACTTTTATTTGAGGACATCCCAATTCACGAAAGCTTTTATTGGTGAGGTTAGTTTTGGCCACCAAGAAGTTCCATGTGCCCGATCGCATACAGGTAGATTCTTAACTCCCTATATCTGATATAGGGCCAATTAAACTTCCACTCACAGACCCTTTACAGTCCTGTAGGTGCGTTTCAGCTTGTTTGAGGTGCGTTTCAGGTGCGTTTCAGCTTTTTCCCAGTGTTTTTGAAGCGTTCAAAGCAATAAGGGCCAAGTTGGACACTTCTGGACGTTAAGGGCTGCTTTGTTAGGGAAACGAACCCTTTACAGTCCTGTATGTGCGTTTCAGCTTTTTCGAGGTGCGTTTCAGGTGCGTTTCAGCTTTTTCCTAGGGATTTAGCTACGTTTTCACTCTTTTAAGGTTTTGGTTTAAAAATAAAGCCTTTCAATCAAGAAACATACAACCAGGTCTGCGGCTGCTCGGTGAGACTCGGCCTCTCGGAGTGGCCCTTCGTGTGCAAGCCAAAAGGCCGCTGCTCCGCCACCACGAGGTCTACGGCTTTGCAGGCGTGGCCGAGTGGGGCCTGCGACGTCTGGTCCAGAGCAAGGGCTGGTCGCTCGAGGCCTCGGACGAAGCCGGCCACGAGGAGGACGACCGACTGGCTGTTGCCTGCTTGCTCTCCTTGGAGGCCAGTCTGACCAAGGACGAAGTCGCGCGAATCCTGTTTCGGCAGGATGCGGCGACGTGGGCAGGCGAGTATGGCGAGCTGGACCTCGCGGAGGTCGTTCGGGACACGATGCTGTCGGCGGACCAGGAGGTGGCCTTGCAGCAGATCGCCAAGCGAAAGGCCACTCACCAGACAGCTGTTCAGGTTCGCCAGCGAGTGTCCAAAACCTTCGACTACGTGTCTAAGAAGTTCGCCAGCAGGCCTGAATTCAAGAAGGCTGCGGCAGCTCGAAAGGCCAAGGAGAAGAAGGCCGAGCAGAAGAAGAAGGAGCAGGCCACCGAGATCAAACGTTGCTATGCCCTCGTGAGCTCGGACGTGGACAAAGCTGTCAAGGCCGCCGTGCCTGCCGCCGTTCGGGTCTACACGGACCCTCCCAATGGGCGGTGGAAGCTCAGCTACAGCACGGCGTGGGCGTGTGCGAGCCGGTCCATTTCGTGGACAGCCATCGGCAGCAAAGCTGGCGGGGCAGAAGTCCTTCGGCAAGCTTGGTCTTGGGCCGAGACCTTCGACGGCCTCGACATCACGGACGAAGCGGCCGCGATGTTGCAGAAGCTCGGAGCCTAGCCTAGTGCAGACCGAGTCGTTCCGAGCCCTGGGTCGCTCGGACATTTTTAGGGTCTCTCGGAAAGCAGAGATCTGAGGCCGTGGCTGAAGCAGCCGGGCCGATGCAAGCTTCAGCCGTGAGGGGTGACGAAGAATAAAGAGGGAATTCTCCGTGTTGCCTCTGCACCTGCCTGCATTCGCCTCCTCTAGCCGTGTAAGTTTAATTAATTGCCCATTGCTTTCCGCCCAGGCCAGATCGAGCACGACTTCCAGCTGGTGGAGCTCCGCACACGAAGCACGAGGCGGGCCCTTGCCACACTCTTGCGTTGCCTTTGCAGTCAGCCTGTGTCAAAGTGTGAGAAGAGCTGTCTGTTTGCAGCAGAGCCCGTGCTCCCAGACTACAGAGCTTTGAGGACTTGCACGTTTCGTAGTTGTGTTTCTCAAGCGTTTTTTTGCCTTGGTAGCGATGGGTCGAGCGACTTTGGCCGAAACCGGCGGCGTGAGGCCTGCCAGCGCCTATGCTCTCTTTTGCAGCTGGGTCGCTCGCGAGGGGCTCTCGTCCGATCGGGCGGCCAGGTTTCGCATCCGTGGAAAGCGTATGGTGCGGAATGGGCCGGCCATCCAGAAAAAGTGGACACTCGGGCTTTTGTTTAGCATTCACCTTATTAGCAGTGTCAGACAATGGTGCGTTTCAGCTTTTCTGAGGTGCGTTTCAGGTGCGTTTCAGCTTTTTCCCAGGGTTTTTGAAGCGTTCAGAGCAAGAAGGGCCAAGTTGGACACTTCTGGACGTTAAGGGCTGCTTTGTTAGGGAAACGAACCCTTTACAGTCCTGTATGTGCGTTTCAGCTTTTTCGAGGTGCGTTTCAGGTGCGTTTCAGGTTTTTTCTAGGGTTTTCCATAGGTTTTTATTAAAGGTGTGGCTTTGCAAGCTCTCAAGGGACTGTTCTTGGGTTGGTGTTTTTTCCTGCAGGCTGTACAGGTCGTTCTCAGGTTTGTCTCTTGTCAGACAAAGCCCCAGCATAGCCCTTGGACAGACCCTAAGAACTGGTCCACAGCAGCCGCATAAAAATGGGCAGTTTGAAGTCCTGGAACTTGGTTGCCTCGGACCTACGGCAAAAGCTCAGAAGCAGCAATACAGGTAGAGATTACGGGGTTCAGAACAAACAGGTTGTCAAGGAGTTTCGCCCGGCCCATCCCTGCCCCTGACTCAAAAATTATTTTCGAGAACAGCCCCAAGCCCAAGCTCCGCTGCACTCAGGCGCCACAAGAAAAGCAAGGACCTTCGGGACCACTTCACGGCCCAAGCAAAAAAGGCCTACGAGGACAACCGTGCCAAGGCAGAGGCCTTCAGGACGGCCCAAAGCCGGGAACTTTTGCCAAGCGAACCTCTTGCAGACGAGGAGGCCGTGGCTGTCGAACTCGAGGCCGACCGTGCGAGGACGGAGCTGTTCAACGACTCCTGGACCTGGACACTCGGAGTGGCCGTTCGCGACCTGACAGAGGTGAGCAGTGGGGTCAGCGGCCGGGTCTTCGTCGGGTCCTTCGCAGGCCAGCCGGTGGCCCTCAAGGTGGCCTTGGGTCGGGGATTGCGAGATCCCATGCAGAGGGCGGCCGCTGGTGGGCTGGACGTGGCAGAGGAGTTCGCCATCTTGGGGGCGCTCGGACAGCACCCCAACGTGGTTCGGGCCTTCGGCGTTCTGACGAGCTCTCTCGGAAAAACCGCTTTGCTCCTCGAGAGGGCGACCGAGAGCCTGCACGACATGGCCTGCCGGCTCCAGGCCGACCGACTGGAAACTTCGCCGGCCGGGAAGGGCTCTCTGCTGCAGCTCTTCCAGCAGTTCCTCCTTGGCCTGTCGTTCGTGCACGGCCGTTCGATTCTGCACTTGGATGTCAAGCCCAAGAACATCCTGGTCTTCGACGGCGTTCGTGCAGCACTGGCGGACTTCGGGCATTCGGAGTCTGCTTCGGACGGTGCCTGCTCGGTCGTCGGCGATCGCGTCTACACCGAGGCCTTTCGATGCTCGGAGTGCCTGATGGCAGGCGATCGGAAGGCCTGCCTCTTGCATTTGCCTCCCAAGTAGCCTTACCATGGCACGTTGCAGACTTAAGCTGAAATCTAATTTGGTGCTCCCTCCCAAACCAGCTTCCCCTATTTTTTCCCGCTAATTTTTGGGTTTAGGCAATACAACCCCACCAAGACTCCTTGACAGTGTAACGTTCCCTGCCAGGTCAGAGTGACGTTCGCCGGCGACGTCTGGGCAGCCGCCGTCTCGTTGTTCGAGATCTGCTCACCTGCAAAAGCCTCGCTGTGGACGGTCTCTCCCAAGACGTTCGTGCGGGAGACGGAGGAGCAGACAGCTCAGGCCATTCGAGAGATGGCCATCGCAAAGAGTGCCAAGGTGATGCCGTTCAATCAGAACATGGTGGACGTTCTGGAGAAGGTCTTCCTACCGGCCAGCCGAAGACTGTCGTTGTCGGGCATGCTTCAGAGCATCCAAAGAGACCGACGAGCACTCGGCCAGGCCCGATCGTTTTGAACGGCCTGCCTGTTTGGTCCCTGAGAAGCAGGGTCGTTCGATGCAAGCCGTTCGAAGCCCTTCGCAAGGAGCTCAGAAGAGCTCCCTTTTTTCATTGCTTTACGAGTCAAAAGAGACCTTCGCTTTGAGCTTTGGCCTAAGTAGTCAAGCACAGCTTCGAGTCTAAAGCTTGTCCTAGGCCTCGAAGCCTTTTCCTGCTGCCAGGTGCTCGAGCGACCTGCTCTTCTTCGCCGAGAAGTTCGCAGCTACAACTCCTAATCCTAAAGCCCTCAATTTTCAACCTTAAGGAATTCAGACCCCAGCTCTTCAACCCTTCTCTTGGGCATCAAAAGTTTGCGACACTCGCCGTTCGACTTGGGTTTCTATGGCGGAAGGCCCAGGTTTTAAGGATAAAGCTTTAGAGATTTCAGGCCGGGGGATACAGTTTCAAGTCTTCAGGTATATCAAAGGGCTTTCGAGATCCAGGATTCAAGCTTTATTTGGGGTTTCGGTGCCGGTGTAGATTTCCACGTTGTACCAAGGAGCCACTGGGTCTTCTGCAAATTAGTCACAGAAAACAAACAGGTTTTGCAGTCCTACAATAGGCCAGAGATGGTCTGCCACACATACGTTTCAACACCTGCGGCCCTGCACAGACGAGAAGCGACAGTTGTAGCATAACTTTACGTATCTCCAACACCAAGACACTTAAAACAAAGCATCGCCCGCTTATTCACGTACCGAATAGGCCGTGGCTTTAAAACAACTCTGTTTACAGAGAGTTTCACACCGGGGTTGCACAAAACTGTTTTAAATTTCGATACCACAAAGGCTTCAAAACGACATCACAAAAGCATTACAACCGATAGCCCAACATGACGACGTTTTTTAGTGCAGTTTTGAGCCGTGCCCATCCCGGCACCGACTATGCCAAAACCTGACGCTTATCCTTCCCTGCTTTTGGCGCTCCCTATTAGCCCGCCCAACAAATATTGGTGCATGTAATGGCCCACAAAAAAGACGGGTGGCACGTAGAATCACACCCAGAATCTACTTTGTGTTTCACACGACAACTGCCTATGTGTAAGTCCTGCACATAACCATCGCCATGACCATCTTACGAGCATTGGCGGATGCACACCACGGCCCGCATGCTTTACAGGTGCTTTCCCGGAGTACTGCTGGGGCAGACAAATGCCTTCCCCCCGGCACTAGCGACATGCTGGCGGGCCGAGGACCATACTAAAATGCCAAAGACGGGTGGTATTCAGAAGCACACCCAAGATCTATGTCCTCAAGTACTGCCGTGATTGCTGGCGGATCCAGGACCCTACTCCGCTGCTTTGCCCCAAATTCTGCTGATTTACTTGCGCGCAGCAACCACTAAAGTCTTCCCGGAGCACGGCAAAATGCTGTCCTCCAAAAAGAATGGCCGGCGGGTCATTACACAGGTGCCCGACCACCCCTCAAAAACAAAAACCACTCACAGACGCAAAAAAATACCACAGAAATTCGGCAACCGTTTCGTTTGCCAGGGCTTTGTGTTCAGAACTTAGTGCCCAGGCTTCAAAACGCCCGAGACATGCGAACTTCTCTTTATTCTGTTTCAAGCACCCATCTTGAAGGAACTTCTCTTTATTATGCTTCAAGTACCCAATAATTATGAAGGACCAAAGCGGCTCTGCTTCAAGGTTTTATTGTATGGTCCCGGTATACTCGAACGAAACCTTTCACTACCCCCAAACCCTGAATCCGAAACTCTTCTTAACCGTCTTAACCGATTTGGCCAGCAGGTGGCATTCGCCGCTGTGCTTCCAGCACTGCAGAAGATTCAAGAGGCCACAAGAATAGGGACCCCCAAAAGCACATAAGCATAAGCATTTTGTAGGGATATCCTTACCTTATCGGGCGTCATTATACGGGGGTTTATATGGGATATCCCTATCCTGATTTTTGCATATGTGCTTTCTTCGGGCCCTAAAGAAGGGGTTTACTGTAGGGTGTAGGTCAGGTGTCTGGCAATTTGGCAATGAAGTTGTCTTGAAACCCCACTTACTCACCCCAAACCTATTCTGCTTTATTGCAGAGCTGATATTAACATCCTGGTCACCCTTGCTAGAAACACAAATAGCGGAACCCTGAAAGGAGCCCTACTCGAAGTTTTTGTGGCCCCAACATTCGGGTTTTGTGTTTGCGGTTTTAGCGTTTAGGGTTTGGTGGTTTCGGATTTCGGGTTGTTTCGGACTTCGGGTCGAAACCTGACTCTTGACATGGGGGGTCGTTCATAAGGGACCCTCAACAAAGAGGTGTAGGAGTCTCATGGCAAGTAAAGTAGTAAGCCGACCCTAAACCCTAAACCCTAAACCCCAAAACCTAAGCCTCTGAAGCCGGCAGCCCCAATTCTAGACTTTTGGGGTCTTGAGGTTTAGGGTTTCTTCAGTTGAAAAATGGGTCGAGGGTTTAGGGTTTAGGGTTTAGGGGTTTAGGGTTTAGGGTTTAGGGTTTAGGGGTTTAGGGTTTAGGGTTTAGGGTTTAGGGTTTAGGTTAATGGTTGAGTTTGGGGACGGTTGAAATCGACGCCTCGTTTGTGGGAGCTCTTTAAATTAGGATTTCGAGCTTCCCGCAATGCGCAACGCCTCACTATAGCATCTTTAATAGAATCTATAAACGTGTCACAACATCACTGAAACCAAAGGGATCCTAGTTGGGTTCTGATACCTATAAGTTTCAAAGTCTACAAACTTACTAAGTTCCCCGACCCTCCAAGTAGGTCCTTCGAGTCACAGGCACATCCCTAAAACCTAAACCCCTAAACCCCAAAACCCTAAACCCCTTCACCCCTAAGCCCCTTGACCCCTAAACCCCCGAACCCCCAAACCCTAAACCCCTAAAGCCTAAACTCCTAAACCCCTGAACCCCTTAACCCTTAAAGCCCTAAACCTCAAACCCCCAAACCCCTAAACCCCTAACCCCTAAACCCCTAAAACCCTTAAACCCCTTAAACCCCTGTAGATCTTAAAGACCCGAAAGCCCAAGCCTTCCCTTCCCAGACCCGAGCCTGAAGGCCTTAGGGTCCTGATGGACCAAATGGCCCTCGAAAGTAGGGGCCCTATACCCATATACTATGAATCCCTTTTTGGTATACGAACCTTAAACCCTGTTAGGGTTCATTTCGTCCTTAAGGGTTTACCTGGACCCTAAGGAACCTACATTTTTAGGGTTCCCTCATATGATTTCTTCATATTAAGTCCTTGAAAAGGTTACTTGAGGTTAGGGTTTATAGGTTTTAGGTAAACTTTAGGGTGTGGGGTTTTGGATTTCGGGTTTATAAGGCTTAGGGTTCATTGGTTTTAGTTGGGTTTAGGGTGAAGGGTTTTAGGATTTCGGGTATATAGGGCTTAGGGTTTATATTAGAATATCGCTTCTCGGGTTTAGGGTTTTGGATTTCAGGCTTACAGGGTTTAGGATTTCACGTTTAAGGTTTATAATGGTGTATAGGGTTGTGGATTTCAGTTTTAGAGTTCAGGATTTCGCAAAGGGTTTAGATGGTTAAAGGGGTTTGGGATTTCGGGGTTAGGGTTTGGGGTGTTGGATTTTGGGTTGACTTAGGGGACTTGGTAGCTTAAAAGGAGTTATTTATGGACTGTTAAGCATCACAACCCCATTTGCAGAGCACTAGACCCTGAACCCTAGGTTTAGGGTTTAGGGTCCCCAATAGATCCCTAAAAAGAACCCTGGGTATTTCCTTATTTCGGGAATAGGGTTTAGGGTTTATATGTGCCAGCATCCGCGCCCCCCCCCCCCCCTCCCCCCCCCATGGTAATCCCCCTCCCCCCCCCTGTGGTTCCTGTGGTTCCCCCCCCCCCCCTGTGGTTCCTCTTGGTTTTTCCCCTCCCTTTTGTGGTTCTTCTGGTTCCTGTCTCCCCCCTCCCCCCCTGTGGTTCCTGTGGTTCCTCCGCGTGGTTGCTGCTGCTTTGTTGTTGCTGCTGTTCTTCTTCTTGTTCTTGTTCTTGTTCTTGTTGTGTGGTCGCCCGGGTCGGGGGGGGGGGGATACCATTGGGGGGGGGGGGGGGGGGGGTCGAGAACGCGGAGCGCGGGCACATATAGGGTAATGGGCCCCAAAACCCTATTCTAATTGTTACGGTGGATGATATAAATCCTGCATTACCTTAAGGACCCTAAACTATAGGAATTATGGTATATTCTTTATTATGGGTAATGCAGGATTTATAGCCGTAAGGCCCTTATGTTAGGGTTTAGGGTGTGTAGGACTTCGGGGCGGAGGTGTGGCCCAATGTCTTCATGCCAGCCTTCCCCGACCTCTTTGCGGCTTCGCGGCGGCAAAGCATCTCGTAAGTGTACTATACTTTATAGTATATAGTGTCGGTAGAGAGTAGTAGTTGTTGTTGTTGCTGCTTTAGTTTGTTCTCAACTAATGACATACCGACAACATACCTGCAGCGGACTATTATATGAAAAACATTCGCTTATTCGTGTTTCAGGTTGTGGGGTTTGAGGGTGGTGCAGAGCTTATACCGGTGGGTTTACGGTTTATAGTTCGGCTTAGTTGGTGTTCTATGTTGCTGCTAAAGCTTTGGCCCTACTTGTAAGTATGCCTCCTGATCCTCCGAACAAAACCAGGGTTTAAAGTTTAGCTGTTTGGGTTTCCTCACTTTCACGGATAATGCATGAACCGTAAAACCATGAAAACGCAGCGGAGCATTCAGTTCCTGGCAGTCCTTTCCAGAAGGTTGATAGAGATCGTGAAATGGTAGACATGTTGCGAGTTTATGCGACTAGGATCCCCAGTAGTGCCCTTATTCCTTTTTTGTAGTCCTAGGTTCCTTATAAAGTTACCCAATACCAAAAAGAGGGGCCTTTTTATTCTTAGGTTACTGGGTATCCTAGTGCGAGTTTATGGGAGTTTAACGGTCTGGGGTTAAAACCCGAAGCCGTAAACCCTGAGCCGAGCCCGGTTTAGGGGCTTAGGGTTTGGGGGAGTTTCGAATTTCGGACTCAGTGACAGAAGCTCTAGCCTCGTCTTTTCCCAGAGAGCTCAGCAACTCTTAATTATGCATTATACCTGAAATGATAAGGGGCTTCATGTGGGAGTTTCCGTAGACTAGGGGTACCTCATTTTGGGATCCTTGTAATAAGGATCCTACTATTTAGGGTACAATATGAAAGCCTCCCATTCTCGGAAACTCCCATATTCCTTTATCAAGGGGTATTGAGCTCTCTGGGTACTTTCGATCAGAAGTGCGGCAAAATTTAGGAAGCAAGATGCTGATCGCAACTCTAGCTATCAGGGCAATGCATGTCAGGCGGTGCTCATATTGACCGAACAGTTGCCCTGTGTGCCTGTGCCCCCTGGGCGCCCGCGCGAACCCGTTGTGGCGTTTGCCCTCGACCTCCGGGGCTTGCTGCGTGATTTCACGTGGCGCCTGGCGCCACAGGGCCGCGTCAACCTTGATCAGCTAGTCCGGGAGTTCGAACCTTCGCCATCGGGGTTCGCCAAAATAGTTGACAGAGGGATTACTGTTAGAGAGGGTGACCATACTTTTCTACGGGTTGCGCACGGCCAGGTCCTTGTTGTCGAGTATGTCGAAGACCTTTTAGGAGCTACACCGGATGCGATGACAGCTCAAGCAGCTCCGACGACAGCTCAGAGCCGGAACGGGCCGTCGACTCCTGTCTCGGAGGCCTCAAAAGGTGGGATGAAGGTAGGTAGGATTAAGGATCCCTTATATAAGGACTCTGATTTGGGAATATCCCACCTACCTTCATCCCACCTTTTGAGGCCTCCGACTGTCTAAGTTCCAAGAGTGCTTACAGGATCATGGCACGTAGTAGGTAGGTTATAATTGGGGTTATAAGTCGCCTGAGTGGGGTTATCCTTCATTATAACCTTCTTATAACCCTACTTTCTCAGTCCCATGAGCCTTTAAGCAGACCCTAAACCCTAAGCCCTAAGCCTTTAAATAGCAACCCTACTTTAGAACCCCATATCACCCTTGAATGGAACCATAGAACTTTTTCCGCAATACCGCAAGCGCCGACTTCCTAAAGCCCCACCTTAAGCGAAGATAGCTTAGTTTCTGAAGTTTCTGATTATGGAGTGGGCCCGAATCTAAAATTTATGGGGCGTCTGCAAGAAGGTAGGTTTTGGTAGTTCAAGATAGCTTAAGGGCTCTGGGGACTTAGTAAGTAGTTTATAACTAACCATGGTTTTAAGTACCCTAAGCGGGGTTATCCGACTTATAACTCTACTCACCCAGATCTTCCGGAACCCCCTGACTAAGGAATATGCCTTGAATCATGTGACGGGTCCAATTACATTTTGAGGCATGTTCCTTATGTAGTGGATGGTGGAAGATCTGGGTGTAAACTACTTACTAACTGGGTGCCTGGAGCCTTTAAGCCCTAAGCACTACCATAAGCCAGGAGCACCATAGCCGACTCCCAAAGCTGACGCTTGTGTCTTTGTGCATTTCGAAACCCTTCTACCCGAAAAGCCGCAGACTTCAGTCTGATTTCGGGGGTCTGCGGCTTATGTAAGGTTGAATTGCCTTAGGGACCAAAATGTCCCCTAAAAGTATTTAGAGGATCATGGGACTTAGTAAGTAGGTTATAACTGAGGTTATAAGTCCTCTAAGTGGGGTTATCCTCATTATAACCTACTTATAACCGTACTTACTAAGTCCCATGATCCTCTAAGTAGGGGCCCTATACCATGAACCCATACATGGTATATGAACCTTACACCTTTGAACCTTAAACCATTTTAGGGCTAGTTTCGCCTTTAAGGGGTTGATAATTGCATAAAAACCTAGACCCTAAATCCTAAACCCTAAACCCTCCCAAGTCTAAACCCTCTGATATCCTAAACCCTAAACCTCCTAAACCCTAAACCCAGGTTAAATTGTTGATAATGGTCGCAGCTCGCAGCCGGTTCAAGGCCAACTACTCGCACTTCAGCAAGTTCCTACAATCGGCCGAGGCTGGTATCCAGCGTTCAGCGTGTATGTATAGGGGCCTGAATACTTTTGAAACGCTGCGCGTCGTCCGCCTCGGCCGGCTGGCCCGGCTGTACGTAAGGGTGTAGGGGGGGTGGGGGAGGGGGGGGGGGGGGGGGGGGGGGGGGGGGGGGGGAAGGGGAGGGGTGGCACCTTTTTTGGGGGGGTCACTGGGGAGGGGATTAAGAGGTGGGGAATACAGGAATCCGAATAGGAACCTCTGACCGCTTCGGCCGGGGCCGAGGCGAATTTGAATGGGGCTTCGGGGTGTGTTATACTATAATTGTGTCAAGGAACCAGATCATTATGGGTCCTACATTAGGGTTCAGGGTTGGGCCCTAAACCCTAAACATCTAAACCTAAATCCTAAACCCTCAACCCCAAGTGGGGTTTGGGGTGTCCGGACGCAGGTTCAGAGTGTAGGATGGGTCTGGGGTCCAAGGCTCCTCGCTCATGGTCTACACAACGGCTCCCAGGAGGGATCCACCATCCCTCACTTGCTTAAAGGCTCTAAAGTAGGGTTGCTATTTAAAGGCTTAGGGCTTAGGGTTTAGGGTCTGCTTAAAGGCTCCTGGGACTTAGTAAGTAAGGTTATAAGTAGGTTATAATTAGGATAACCCCACTTAGGGGACTTATAAACCCATTTATAACCTACTTACTAATTCCCATGATCCTCTAAGTGAGGTTCCGACAGCAAAGGTTTTTTCTTTGCTAGACACCCTAAACCCTAAACCCTAGATCCCTAAACCCTGAAAGGTCTAAATTTCCAAAGCCTAGGCCCTAAACAACCCTCACCCCTAAACCAACCCTTGGCCGCCCTGGGGGTTTAGGATTGAGGGTCCTTCTTATCGTTTAGGTTTGCATGGACGCACAGGACAACCCTAAGCGAGCATGAGTGAGTGAGTTCTTTTTAAGGAGTTCCATTTAAGCTGCCAGCATCGTGCGTGATTTGTGGGGGTTCCCCATTATGGAAAATGAAATATAAGTTCCTTCACAAGAACCCTGTACCTAAATCTTTAACCCTATAAGCCCCTAAACCCAAAACCCTAAACCCAAAAATTGGCGACTCAGAGACTCCAATATCTCTTAATTAAGGAATGTACCTTAAATTACAGTAGGATCCCTCATATCCCTTAATTAAGGAATGTACCTTAAATTACAGTAGGATCCCTCATATTCCTTAATTAAGGGATATTAGGATCCCTCTAAACCCTAAACCCTATAGATCCCTTAAAGGATCCCTTAAAGGAGCCCTTTTTCCCTAGGGTATTCCTTAATTAAGGGATATCGGAGTCCCTGGCTTCTCAAAACCCCGAATCCGAAGCCGACCCCCTCCCCTCTGTTAAGCCTAAACCGTAAATTAAAATCTACTCTAAGCCCTTACACCCATAGCCCCCAAAGTAGTTCCTTTTGGGAATTACCTTGTAGGATTCTATATGTGAGCCCCGAAAAGGGACTACTTTGGGGCCTTAGGGTAACCCCAACCCAACACTCAAAAACTCCTAAACTCCTAAACCCTAAACCCTAAACCCTAAACCCTAAACCCTAAACCCTAAACCCGAAACCCTAAACCCTAAACCCTAAACCCTAAACCCTAAACCCTAAAGCCTAAAGCCTAAAACCGAAACCCGATGCTCTAAAACCGATGAACCCTAAAGCCCAAACCCTATAAAACCCTAAGCCCACAACCTTAAACAGAAAGAAGCCCAAACCCAAAACTCAAGAACCTTAAACCCCCAACGCTAAAACTTAAGCCTCAAAGCCCAAACCCTGAACAAAAAGAAGGCGAAACCGCGCCTAAACCCTAAACTCTATAAACCCTTAGACACTAAACCCCTAAAGCCCTAAAGCCCTAAACCCCTAAACCCCTAAAACCTAAACCACAGGAGGCCATGGAGCCCGAGGAGATGGAGGCACTTCGTCGTGACCCTGCCCTGGGCAACCCGGCCGGCTTTGTCAGGGTTTCGGGGTTTAGGAGATTGGGTTCAGGTAGGTAGGGTCCCTTAAAGGGCTCCTTTAAGGGATCTATTAAGGGTTCTATAATGGGGGAGTTTACCAAGTTTGAGGGTTTCCGGGTTTAGGGGTTTAGGGTAGAATGTAAGGGTTTAGGGTATAGGGGTTTAGGTTATAATTTGAGGGTTCAGGGTTTCCAGGGTTTGGGGTATAGGGGTTTAGGATATAGGGGTTTAGGCTTTCGAATTTGCAAGGCTTTTCGGCTTTGGGGTATAGAGGCTTTAGGGTTTAGGTTTTTAGGCTCTAGGGGATTGGGTTTAGGGGTTTATAGAAATTGTACTGGGTTTAGGTCCCTGAGTTTTGGCCGAAACTGTTTGATGAACGTTTTGACCGAGTTTTTCCTTTTAAAAACCGATTAGAGCAGGCTGGGGGGTTTGGGCTCGGCTGGGGGTTGAGATGCTGGGGGTTGGGGTCGGGGCTGTGCCGGGTCTGGGGTTGCGGCTGGGCTGGGTCGTGAAAACACACAATTCTACACATTCTCGTTGTGAAGGCTGCAAGGCTGGGGCTCAAGACCCAAAATGGCAGTTTCCGAAAATTCGGGGAGCCGTATTTTGGGGTCCTTATACTAAGGATCCTACTATTTAGGGTACTATACTAGGGTACCCAATTTTTGGAGAACTACCAAATCCTCCGTATCGCAGTGGGTTTCGGGTTTAGAGCAGTTTAAAGTTTTGTAGATGTGCTGATGGAGTTGGGCCTTGGAGTTCGGGCAGATGTGATGGCTATGAAGGCGAAGTTCTTCGTTTAGGGTTTAGGGTTTAGGGTAAGTTTTTTTGACTGGGGTTTCGGCTTCTTGATCAGCGAAGATCAAAGGAACTGCTGTAAGCCCCTTAAGTCATCGCATGGCGGATCTTCAGTAAGAGGTCGTAACCAGCAAAAACCGACAAGCTGCTCACACCCCCATAAAGGCCGAGCATGGGGGACCTTCATTTCAGAGATACTGTAGTCTTTTGGTACACCCCGCGCAAGTCCGAATCCCAATATCGGAACTCTAAACCCTAAACCCCCTAAACCCTAAACCCCTAAACCCTAAACCCCCTAAACCCTAAACCCCCAAAACCCTAAACCCCCTAAACCCGAAACCCCCTAAACATTAAAGCCTAAACATTGAAGCCGTTTCGGGGTTAGGGTTTAGGGTTTAGGGTTGGGGTTAGGGGTTTAGGGTTTGGGGTGACTGAAAGCCAAAACGAAGCCCGATCCCTTTAACCCTGTACCTTGCCAAGGTGAGTTTCAGCGCAAATGGAAGACGCAGGTTCGAGTTTTGCAGCACCTGCCCCTGTGAGGGTCAGGATCAGGGTACTGCCCTAACAACCCCTAACTTCTAAAGCTTAAACCCCTAAACCCTGAACCAATCCCAGCAAAAACCGATGTTACTAATGTAGGAACCTGATTAAGAAACCCTGGCCCTATAACCCCCAATATAACCCTGACAAAGCCCCAAGGTTTCTTAATCAGGTTCCTACATTATTATTATAGTACCCTTATAGATCCCTTATAGTAACCCTTATAGACCCCCTTTAAAGGAACCCTAAGGTTCCTACATTAACCAAGTCCTCTAAGCTCCGAGATCCCTAATCCTCTGATCTCTACACCCCGTCTCCCCACCGCTGCTTAACTTATAGGATCCTTAAGGGAGGGTGGTTCAAGGGGGGAGGGTATAAGGAATCTTTAGGGGACTGTAAGGGAACCTTAGGGAGTACTAGGGAGAATTAGGGATCACTAGGCTATATACCCCCCTTGGACCCCCCTCCCTTAAGGATACTATAATTAACCTCTGGTCTCCACACCCCATACGCCAAAGCGTACTTGAAAGCTCATGGGACTTAGTAAGTCAGGTTATAAGTAGGTTACAATTAAGATAACCCCACTTAGGGGACTTATAACCCCAATTATAACCTACTTACTAAGTCCCATGATCCTCCAAGTAGACCCCAAGCCGTAAGCAAGCCCAGGAAAGTAGAAGTTGTGTGTTGGGCAAGGACCAAGGAGTTGTTTTTTGCTTTACGGACCTTCCACCAACCCTCCTTGAGACATAGGACAATCCCTTTAATTGCGCTGGGCACTGGCGTGCTGGCTGAAACGGTGTGACAAGTGGAGCCTTAAACCTTAAAATCCTAAAACACGCTCACTGGGGTCACTTCGTTTGGTTTGCCAGCCCTTTTCACTCAACACCCCAAACCATAGACCTATAAGCAATAGACATCAACATAGTACCCTAAATGGTAGGATCGGTAATGTAAGGACGCCAAGATAAGGTACCCCTCATTTTCGGAAAGCCCCATATAGACCCTAAACAATAGACACTAACAGCCCAAACCTCACAAGGAGACTTTGCTAAAAACGACCCCTTCCTCCTCTTCGAAACGTGGTGTCCTCACTGTTTGGGCTTTAGGGCTCCAGAACCCTAAACCCTAAACTCCTAAACCCTAAACTCCTAAACCCTAAACTCATAAACCTTAATGCGAGCCTCCCCAACGTCTACGGCGACTTGGATACAGGACCTAAGCCGGCGAGCTCTGGGACTGGAGCAGGAAGCTCGGCGCCGGCGGATCCACATCCGGAGCCCCCTGCCGATCGTCAACACGCGCCTCCGACGGCGCATGCAGGGGGGCCCGGCGTGTCGGCATCCGCGGCTGATTTGCCGCCGGCGGGCATGCCGTCGGGAGGGTACCCGAAGAAACCCGACCGACCGGCCCCGTCGGCCAAGGGCGGCACTCCGGCGGTGTGGGACAGATTGGGCGTTTTGTGCCAAGCCGACGCCGAGGTGGCTTGTACCAGCACAACATTCCGTCGGCCGACTATTACCGTCGGTGCTCCACGGTGTTGCCCGACAAGATCACACCGTCGACCATTGGGCTGCGGAGGAAGCCTCTAGGCGCTCCTTTGGGGGTTTCTCTGCGGCTTCTTTGAAAGGCTTCCTTTAAGGGTTCCTTTGAGGGTTCCTTTAAGGCCTCCTGTAAAGGTTCTTTAAGGCTTCCTTTGAGGGTTCCGTTAAGGCTTCCTTCGAGGGTTCCTTTAGGGCTTCCTTTGAGGGTTCGTTTATGGGCAACCGACAGGTCGGGGTTTCGACGTGTGCTGACGAATGGCATTGGTACTGAAAGGCTCAGGAGACTTCTCAAACTTTCAAGCAAGGTTATAAGTAAGGCCTAGTAGTAGAGTAGGTACCTTTTTAGGGTTCCCTAATATGATTCTTTATATAAGTCCTTAGAAAGGTAACCCTAACATAGGGGCCTTACGGCTGATGATCAAAATCCTGCACTACCCATAATAAGGAAAATGCCATTATTCCCGTAGTTTAGGGTCCTTAAGGTAATGCAGATTTATATCATCAACAGTAAGTAAGGGTTAAATATCCCGACTCAGGGCACTTAAAACCCCATCTATAACCCTACTTACTATAAGTCCTTTGGGCCCGCAAGTATGGACATGCCTCCAGGGCTTTGGACTTAGGTTTCCTCGTGAGATCCCACACTGCAGACACCAAGCCCCTGAACCCTAAACCCCATGAGGGTTGAGGGTCCCCTCCAAACTCAGTGCAGGTCTACTGCTCTTTGCGCGCCAAGGAGGCCGGAAACACAAGCTCTACATAAATCCCTAAGATCTAAACGTCTAAATGCTAAATCCGAAGACCATGCAAAGCCCTAAACCCTAACCGGAAAGCTCAACTATCACACGATTATATGATTTGGGGCTTAGGGTTTGCGCTTTAGGGTTTAGAGCTTAGGGTGTCCCAAACTCCCCTAGTTGCAGACTCGACCTCGACGGTGCCGGTCGACCTAGTCTGCCGTAAATTATAGAATCCTAATATGGGAGTTTCCGAAAATTAGGGCTGCCTTGTTTTGGTGTCCTTATAATAAGTCCTACTATCTAGAATTCTATACTAGGCTCCCCTATTTTCGGAAACCCCCATATTATAGTCCCAAAGCTTAGTTAGCCCTTAGTTCCCCAGGATACTACACCCCCACACCCCCAACACCCTGCACGTCAATCCCTGAACCCTCAAGACTTACCCTTTACCTACACCTCAAACCCTAAACCCCAAATGCCAAATCCTAGACCCTAAACCCTTCACCCGAAACACCACGTCGAAAACCCTCCACCTTCACCCTAAACCTTTTCCCAAAAGCCCTACACCTCAAACCCCAAATCCCAGACTCTCGACCATAAAATCCCACACCCTTATAGTATCTGATAGGAACCCTTCTAGTACGCCTATCTTCTTCCCTTATAGTACCTTGATAGGAACCCTTGTAGTGCCCTTATCTTCTTCCCTCAAAGGGCCTTGATAGGAAGCCTTGTCATATTGTTGAAAATATAAAACCTGCATTACGCGAAATATACCATAATTCCCATAGTCTAGGGTCATTGAGTCATTAAAGTAATGCAGGATTTACATCATGAACCTAAACCCTAAACCCTAAAACCCTATAGATCCCTCAAAGGAGCCCCTTAAAGGTACCTTTACAGATCCCTTTAAAGGAACCCTTCCGAAAGCTGTCAGGCGAATCAGCGGCTGGATGCAGCAGCGAAGAGGCCGCCTGAACTTAGCTCAAAAGGCTTTAGGGTTTAGGGTTTATATAGGGGTTTGGGGTTTAGGGTTTAGGGTTTAGGGTTCAGGGTTTAGGATTTAGGGTTTGGGGTTTAGGGTTTAAGTTTAGGGTTTAGGGGCTCGGAAGGCTTCACAAGGTCTGGGAGTTTCCGTGTGTTCCCTTAAAGGTCCCTTGGGGGTGATAGGCTTCCTTTAAAGGTGTCTATAGGGCTCCTTTAAGGGATCTGTAGGGTTTAGGGTTAAGGCCTTCATTCAGGGATTCCTGTAAGGGTTCTTAAGGGTTCCAGACGGGTTCTACTTAGGGTTTCGGCGGTTCAAAAGTTTAGGAGGTTCCGAAACTGAAGGTTTTGCGCGATAATACTCTTCAGGGCTTTCAGAACAAGGACGGAGTACCCTTAATACGAAGAGCCGCATTTTCGGCAGGTGCCCTCGATTCAGCGCGATCTAATTCGTACATTTCGCCGTGCAGTCTGGGATGCAGTAGAGTGGGTGTACCACTGCTTTTGGATCGAACGAAATGTACTAGCCTTACTAACTGCTACTAATTGGCAAAGGGATCCCCCTTAACTACGGTCACCTCAAAGCACTGTTCAAATTTGTCAAGGCCAAGATCGCAGAAAAATCGGCCGCAAAAGCCTTGAACGCTCCTGTTGTTGCAAGGCATCTGCTTAGGAATCCTTGTCGAGTCGTTGTAGAACCCTGTGAGAGGAAAGTGGACCACAGTCGGAGTCGGAGCCAACAAACGGATAGCACAAGATGCTGCACTTCGTGACTGGGTCACTGGCACGGGCGACAAGGCTTGTCTGCGCCGGTGGATCTGCGCTGGCTGCTTGTCATCGGAACGATGGGCAGATAGGCACTCTGTTTCTCTTGGCTTGAATACCAGGTCCACTCTCGAACAAATTGAGAAACACGAAGCCTTCAACTCGTTGCGAACTTCGGCAGGCTCTTTCTCAACAAGTTGATCGCATCATCACCAGGCAACGACCTTGGCTCCAGCTATGTCTGCGCCATGGCTCCTGCTCATTTCGTCGATGAAACCGATCTTGCTGAGAAGAAGATCCCTAAACCCTAAACACCACAACCTTGAAGCCTAAACCCCTACACCCTAAACCCTGAACCCTAAACCCTAGGTCTGGCAAGTATGTCATGCCGATCGGTTCTGCCGAAGAGCTTACAGAGCAAACAAGGCCTTCCAACCAGACGAGCCGCATTTGCCGCCTTCCATGGTCGCCTGAGGACAATCCGACAACTCTAAACCCCAAACCCCCGAACCCTCAACTCTGAACCCTAAACCCTGAAACTTCTATTGGTGTTGCAGGCTCTCCGCAGACGAGCCGATGGCTGAGCCACCCGTGGTTTGTACAGGTGTTTTCGAAATATTTGTGACATAGCTATGAAGAAGATTAAGCAATGGTTTTCACAAGTTTGAAAAGTGGTTTCACTATCTTGAATCTAGAAAAGAAAGGATGTTAATGGGGGGCATACTTTCGTAAATCATGATCATTGTACGGATTAGGGCATTATTGCGACAAGTAGTTTGTCCGACCTTTGCATTGCGGCTTAGGGCTTTGGGCACCGAGTTGTAAGGTCCTGGCTCGGGGGTTTAGGGCTGATAGTTGTATTATTCTTTTTCCTCAGCCGCTGAGTTTGCTATATAGAGTTTTCGGCTTAGACAAAGAGATGATCTTGTTTCGAGTCAGGACCTCACCAATTCGGGTTTTGAATCTAAGACCGTGCGGTAGGGTTCAGGCTTCATCTGCACACTCCAACTCCCAACGCACTGAACCCTTTGTTCACACTGAACAAGACGGGGCTTGTCAAGCACCAACTCACCAAGAAGAAGACTGCAGCTTGGATCGGAAGCTTCCAAAAGTCCAAAGGAGCTGCATTACCTTGAGGACCCAAAACATAGGGAATTATGGTATATGATTATGGGTAATCCTGGTTTATATCATGAACAGTACGAAGATCAAGCTTGCCAACGGCCGGGAGGCCTAAGGCGCTGAAAGTCTTGAAAGTCCTAAATCTTAAACCCTACATGCTCGAATCAAGACATGTGCTTATTGGGTTTCCCTAGAAGCCCTTATACAACCCGCAAACCCTTGAACCCCAACCCCCGACATCCCTAACACGAAAGCTTCTACACCCGTAAACTTACAAACCAGACCCGAAACCGTACATCATTAATCATTAATTTGCCCAAAAGAACTGAATTGCAAAAGGATCTACAAGCCCCTAAATCCCTAAAACCTAAACTATAAATAAATGGTGAGGCCGGGTCGCTTGCGGGAGGCCCATGGCCGGCAGTACTGGCTCGAGGTGGGATGCGGCTTAGGAGTTTACCTGGACCCTGAAAAACATACCCTTGTAAGGACTCGTATAAGTAAGTCACAACATGGAACCCGAAAAAGTTAGGTTCTTCAGGGTCCAATACAATTAAGGAATATACTTGAAATGAATAGGATCCTTAATGTGATTTAACGAATATTCCTTGATTAAGGGGTATTGGAGTCTCCGGGGTGTTTAGGATTCAGGGCATGGTTTACAGTTGGGTGTAGGAGTTAAGGAGGTCAGGTGTTGTCGTGCTGGGTTTCAGCAGCTTTTGGACCATTCGATGACGGTGCACTTCGATAACGCCGATGCGCTAAGCACGACTCTTCAAACAAAGAGCCGAGACACGGAAGCTCCGGTCGCCTTCAACATAGTGACTTTCCGTGAAATGATGGAGAATTGCGAAGTCGAGAGGTGGTTCTCATTGATGTTGGAAAAGAAGACTGAGATTGCCTGTGCTTTGGAGCCATTGGCTTGACAGCAGCGGGCTCGAGGGTTTGGAGGCCAACATCTTTAGACATGTTCGAGATTGTTTGGCTTTAGGTTTTAGACTTTGGCCTTGAGGGTCTTTAGAGTGTAAGGTTTCAAGGTTTACTTAGCGTCAGAGTCCCGATATAGTTTGGGCTGAAAAAAACGTGCTTTGGGGGGGGGTATATGGAGGCTTGCAGTTTCATCGCCTGCTTTGCTTAGCTAGCAAAATTATCATGGCATCACCCGTATGTAGCCATGCCATGTCATAACCCCAAAGCCTTAGTCTACTCATTTAAGTCCTATATTGAGAAGTGGGGGCCGTGGCCTGTATTGCAAAAGTATCATTGGTTAGCTTGGTTGGGACGTGGTCCGCATGCTTGCATCGTCCTACATGTGGCCTAGACCAAAACCTCAAAGGACACTGAAACTCCATGTTCCTTGAATGGCCTGCCATTATTGTATAAGTAAAACTTAAGGGGCATGGAACTGGCAACCAGCACAAGTGCTTTACACCCTACCTGAAGCCCTGTTCCTAGAGCCACTCCCTAAACCTTAAGCCGTCCACATTGCCAAAAGCGTCCCCTGGCAGACCTCCAGCGAGCTTCTCCAGACGATTCACCTGGCGGGCTTGCCCGGCTATCTGCAGTGTGTGGTACAGGGGCCATAGAAGTGCACAGTAGCATTCCTCTGTGGTCCCTAGTGGTCCCTGATTGATTTATGAAATGCGGCCCCCCCATGAAAAGACCCAGAGCGACTTTGCACTCCCAAGTTCCGACTAAATCGCAAAAGCGGACCCACTAGAACAAGTTCATCTTGGTAGCAACAGAAAACTTACTAGTCCAGAAAGCCACACCCGATAGGTTGAGTAGTTCGTCCACTTTCATTTCGTGGTTCGGTTAGTGACGACATTGCGCAAAGCCATGCAAACTGCTTTAAGGCTTCTTGTGCTCTGCACAGGTGTTGCGACAAATTCCCTAGACGAGGAAGTCTCCAGACTTTGCTTTCGGCCGTGTTGAAAATATCCTAAGTCGAGACAAAGACCACCAGGGTCCAAAGCAAACACCACTAAAAGCCAGCCCTCCCCGCACTTAGGGTTTAGGGTTTAGGGTTACCCACACACACACCCACACACACACACACACACCCACACACACACACACACACACACACCACACACACACAACTGAGGAACATGCATACACCATAATGCTGTAAGATCTCAGTTCATGCAATTGGAAAAACGTTAATCATAGTCATTCGGTTCCCTGAACTCTAGAGCCAAGTTCCTGAACCCCTAGTTTCCAATGATTCCGAACCCATTTAAATCCCACACCGCGGAGTCTTGCATTGACAGCGCCCTCGAGGTTTGGGGCGACTGGTACCTAAGCTGCCTCTACCCGAAGATGGTCTTGGCCCTACACAGGAGGCTCAGGAGGGACGAGGGTTCTGGGGTGCAGGGTTCAGGGACGATGCTGGGATGCCGGCTTCAGGAAAACTTCTGGTTATATTTGGCCGCTTCGTGTTTTGGTTTGTTTCGCGTGACCATGTCCGGGCGTGGACTTTAGCAGAGCACCTCAAGTGTCGGGGCTAATACTTGGGTGGTTGTCAAAATTATGGTCCCTTCTTGGGTCCTTGATATAATACGGCACCTAATACCTAAGGTACCCAAAAAGGGACCACAATTTTGACAACTACCCACTTAGGTTTTACTGTGTAGGGGTTTGGAATTGAGTGGGGATTGTTCTAGCAGGTGCCAAGTGGCGTCGAGGCAGTGGTTACAGATGTGGATAGTGCTGGCGATGATGGTGGTGATGATGACGATGGTGCACTGGTGATGGTGACAGAGATGGTGATGCTTACTTGGAGGGTCGGGGGACTTAGTAAGTAGGTAGTAAGTAGACTTATAAGTACCCTAAAAGGGACCCTAATTGGGGTTATGATACTTATAAGTCCCTAAAATAACCAGTTACTAAGTCCTCCGACCCTCCAAGTAGGGTCCCCAAATCCTAAACCGTCAACAACCTTGACTCCCCACATCCCAAACCCTAAAAAACCTCCGAGCCAAATGTCTTGTTCGACAGCTCGACTGTCTCACACTCCCGGAACACCTCGGCAAACCCAAGGCACTGCAAAGCTACCAGAGTTTAGAGTTAGGGTTTACCTAAGTTTACCTAGACCCTCCATCTTTTCTCTATTAGACCCTAAATGAATATAATTTGGGGCCATGTACCCCCATTTGAGGGCACAAGGCGGGTCCTGGTAGGGTTTAGTTTTTCGGGCTTTTGCTTCGAAAGGTTGAGGATTCAGCGAAGAGGCTTTTGGTATCTTTTGGTTTCGGGGTCTTGGGCTAAGGGCCTTACTTAGGGCTTCACGGAGCCGGTTCTGGAGCCCTGAACCCCAAACCCTAAATCCGGGTTTAGGGTTTACATACAGGCCCATGGGACTTCGTAAGGAACGGTACTACTATTTGCTTAAAAAACCACCAGAAAATAAACATAATAATCCCTATATTACCCCCATAAGGAATATATTTTTTATTTTTTTGGTGGGTCTTAAGCAAATACTAGGGTACATGTAGGTTAAAATTAGGATACCCCCACTTAGGGGACTTATCCTCGATTATGCCCTACTTACTCAGCCCCACGATCCTCTAAGTACTCTAACCTCCCCCTTCTAGATCCCTTAAAGGAAGCCTTTAAGCAACCCTAGCTACCAAGTCCCATGATCCTCAAAGTAGGGTTTAGGGCATCGCCCCGGCATTCGAGATCCAAGGCGCGACTGGCACTGGAGCTCATCGCGAGGCTTTTCTGGGCCCCATGGAGCCCACTACCCCTGAATTATACGTGGGCAGTTGTTAAACTAGGATGCCCAGTAGTACCCTTATTCCCTTTTTGTAGTCCTAGGTTCCTTATAAAGTTACCCAATACCAAAAAAAAGGCCTTTTTATTCTTAGGTTACTGGGTATCCTAGTAAATAAAATTAAGGTCCCTTTTTGGGTAATTACCCTAAATTGCACTGGGCTTTGGAGTACCATACTTTAATACTCTTTTCTTCAAGGAACCATTAGGAAATAGACGTTTACACTTTTTCCACCCATATACCTTCCTAACCCGAAACCCTAAACCCATATTCTGAAGTCCAAGTTTGGGGCATGGGCCACTTGCTTTAAGGAACGGGGGTTTCGTTTCTACTAGACTCTAGGGTTTCATGGTGTTAAGTTTGGAGTTTTAGGCTTTGGGGTGTAGGGTCTAGGATTTAGCGTGTTGGGTTTAGGTTTGGGGTTTCAGGGTGTTGAGATTGGAGATTTTAGGCTTTACGGTTTAGGGCGTTGGGTTTGAAGATTTTAGGCTCTAGGGTTTAGGGTTTAGGGTGGTGGGTTTGGATTTTTAGGCTTTCGGTTTTGGGTTTTAGGGTGTTGGGTTTGGATTTTTAGGCTTTAGGTTTGGGGTTTCAGGGTGTTGAGTTTGGAGTTTTAGGCTTTAGTGTTCAGGGGTCATGGGGGTTTTGCATCTTCAGTATTGTTGGTTCAAGGCACCGGCCTTCGGAAGCCCTGCACCTCCTAAACCTAAACCCTTACAGATCCCTTAAAGGAACCCCTAAAAGGAACCCTTATAGATCCCTTTAAAGGAACCCGAAGGCAGGAGCTAAACTTGGTTGAGCTTGTTAAGTCACTGTATTGCTTTATTACTTTCAGGGTTAGTCTTTTAATATTTGGGTACTACAAGTTATACCCTAAACCCTCAACCCTTTTCGATGGCTTGCACCTTAGGCGGAAAAAGGAGCTCAACAACAAAGAAACCCTAAATCCTAAACCCTAAACCCTAAACCCAGTAAACAGAGACGGACCTGCAGTGGAAGCTCCCAAAAGGGCCCCAAAGCTGCCCCACAACCCGGGGATTCAGGGTTTTAGGGTGTTAGGGTTTAGGGTTTGGGTTTTAGGGTGTTAGGGTGTTAGGGTTTAGGGTTTAGGGATTGAGATTCAGAGTTTTAGGGTTTAGGGTTTGGGGTTTAGGGTTTAGGGTTTAGGGATTGAGATTCAGAGTTTTAGGGTTTAGGGTTTGGGGTTTAGGGTTTAGGGATTGAGATTCAGAGTTTTACGGTTTGGGGTTTAGGGTTTAGGGTTTAGGGATTGAGATTCAGGGTTTAAGGGTTTGGGGTTTTGGGTTCAGGGCTTGGGATTCAGGGTTTTGGGGCTTGGGGTGTATTGGATCCTCGCCAAGGAATGTAGAAGCCTGAGTATTTGCTAAGACTGTTCCCCCAAATTCTGATCCTTAGATGGCCTGTGAGAGAACTTTAAACATTTTGGCCTTATAGGTTTGGCCTGAATTAGACAGTTTGAACTTTTTGGTGCTTGTCACTGAAGAAGGGAGGAGTGTAAGAACCCACCGTTCCAATGATTAAAGCCTACATTTAGCCACCCGCTCCTGAAACCACAGATCCATACGGCTCTCAAGCCTTTGCCTTTTGAGGTTCACCTGTAGCTCAAAAAGTCATTTCTAAGTGGCATGTACAAGGAAATCAAAATCAGAAGCCCTGGGCCATAAGATAGCACTAAATCCTTGAGCCAAACACCCTTAAACCCCGAAATACGTTAAAGTGCTACTCCTTAGGCCTTCGAAACATATGACTCTGTATGTATACCGAAATCAGTTGTTAAATGATTCAAGCCGCTATACCAAAGCCCCATAAACCTCGTAAAGGAAACCTTGAAGAAACCTTTTAAGGCACCTTACTCGAACCCTACAGCCCCATCTCTAAGCCCTAATCATTAAGTCTCTGCATGCCGGCCCCTGTATCAAAAGCCTTCAAGCCCCTTTGTAGAAAGCCGGAACCCTCGTCGAGAGCCCAATACCCGTTAAGAAGAGAATATAGTGTTAAGTACTTATTCACTAACTTAAGGTATATTCCTTTATTAACGAGGAATTGTGCTCACTGAATATTCCCCTGAACCCTCAACGTGAAAAGTTTGAAAGAACCGTAAGGCCTCAGTACTTAAAGGCTCATGGGACTTGTAAGGCAGGCTATAAGCCTCACTTAGGGGACTTATAACCCCAATTATAAGCTACTTAATTACTAAGTCCCATGGTCCTTTAAGTATTCAAGCAGGTATGGCAAGGCCATGGCTTCCCTCGCCGATGGCTCTGGGGGCAGCGAAGGCTCCAGGGAATCGTATAGAGTTTAGGGCCAGTTTCGGGTTAGGGGTTTGGGGTTTAGGGTCCTGAATAATTGATATCAAGAGCGTTCCTTGAAAGGCTCTTTTGAAGGTTGGGCCTCGGTTTTATGCACAATATGATTGGAATACTTTTATAGCCGTAACTATAAAGAACACATGTACGTGGCTCTTTACAAGTTTGTTTACAATTGTCGTTGATTTGTCTATGGAATATTGGGTTGAGTACTGATATGGCGTGTTGTAAAAATGGCACATATCTGGTGCTGTTCGTTTCTATATCGAGGTTGAAAGTTTAGATGTCTTAAAATGCACCTATAAGAGACATAACGCAAGTACGATGGTTAATATCAAAAGTAAAAGTAACAAAGAACAACTGTTTCTAGGTAGGGCTTTGGGACATTTTATATTTTCTCTTATTGGGCTTAAGAGGATCTTACCTACTAATATTTTTCAGAGGCTTTAAAAGCACCTCCTAGGTTTTGTCTATCGGCAAACACGTTGCGTACAGGCCGATGCGTTGTCAAGGGCCGTGTCTCTGGTCGTCTGAACTTCAGAGCAGACTCTACTTAGAGGATCATGGGACTTAGTAAGTGTAGGGTTCCTTAAAGGGCTCCTTTAAGGGATCTATAAGGGTTCTATAGGGGAACTAAGGCTTAGAGGATCATGGGACTTAGTAAGTAGGTTATAACTGGGGTTATAAGTCTCATAAGTGGGGTTATCCTCATTGTAAGCTACTTCTAACCTTACTTACTAAGTCCCATGAGCCTTAAAGTACGGATGGCTTCACCACCTTGCCCCCCAGCCCGTGAACCAGACCGGGTATAACAGAAGAATACACCATAGCTCAAGAGCCTCCATGGATTGTATTCACTTGATCGCAGAAGCTGTCGGTTCATACCGTGTGCACTCGTACGAAGACGTATTTATGCTTTGCCAAAACACGACAGGGCCCGCGCCCACAGTCCTCAGGCTTTTTTTACATGTATCATTACTGTTCTCACGATGTTTCATCTGACATGCTGAGCTTTTAAATTGATCTTTACTTAAGCCCTTGAGCCCGAAATGCTCTACCCCTAACCCCAACTTTACTGCACAAGACTCCCGGTAGATCAGTCCCAAGGAGCATTCTGCTACGCCCCAAGCACCTAAGACGTTGCAAACGACAGTAGGGCCCCGAGAAGCAGCTGAGGATGGCTTACAGTGATTAGGGTTAAAGGGTTTTTTGGATGTAGGGTTCAGGGTTTGGTTTAGGGTTTAGGGTAACACATCGAAATTAGAAGATGGTTTAACAATGGTCAGTGTTGCGGCTCTTATGGTTTACCTTAAAACAGCTTCAATCTTATGAAGATGCTCTTGTAATTTCAGGCATATTTCTTAATCCGAATTTGAGTTGTATTCGTTAATCAAGAGGCATTGGGCTTTCTGGGTGACGCACCAGCTCTCACATTCGCAGGTGCTGGCTGGGACGCGGGAGCTTCGCCACATCCTTACTCAGAGGGTTTCTACGACTTTTGGGGCATACTTAAAAACCTAGGTTCCTGAGTAGTACCCTTTTGCCCTTTTTGTTGAAGGGTCCCCTTATCAAAGCCGAATAGTAGGCAAAAAGGCCACCTTTTTTTTCATGGGGCTACTCAGGAACTGAAGGGCGCAAGAGACTTCGTAAGTATGGCTATACTCAGAGACTCCAAAAGACCTTAATTAAGCAGTATACCTTCAGTTATGAGGGGATCCTCAGCATGGTTTGAGGTATATCCCTTAATCAAGGGATTTTCGGAGTCTCTGGGTATGTATGTAGCCCACTTAGGGGACATATAAAACCCAATTATGAGTAAAAGTGCTAAGTCCCATGATCCTCTAAGCCTTAGTTCCCCTATAGAACCCTTATAGATCCCTTAAAGGAGCACTTCAAGGAACCCTACTTACTAACTCCCATGACCCTCTCTAAGTCCCAGCCCCCGAGCCCGGCTTAGTGGGTCGAGATCTCTGGGCTTATGGGCTTCACGGGTTTTGGGGTTTGGGGGTTGGGGTCTCAGGCAGTCATAGGGACCCTTAGGAGGGTAAGGGGCAGGGGGGGTAGGAGTAGGAGACTATATTTCCTCAAATAGGCCTTGTTAGGTCCTTGTAAGGGGCGCGAAGGCCCCCTACCACCCTTCCCCCTACCCCCCTAAGGGTGTCTATGAGTTAGAGTTCAGGGATTAGGGGTTAAGGGTTCAGTTGCAACATCCGAGAAGCGCCTGTATACTTAGAGGATGGCTTAGAGGATCATGGGACTTAGTAAGTAGGTTATAATTGGGGTTTTAAGCCCCCTATCTGGGGTTATCAAAATTACAGCCTACTTTTAACCTTACCTACTAAGTCCCACGAGCCTTTAAGTACGGAACCTCAACCCAAACTTCCGGGCTTTAGGGTTGCAAGCCCCCTAACCCTGTTTTTTCGATCGAGCCCGTTTCACCGCAAACCCTACACCACAAATCCGAAACTCTAACCCCTGCACCCTAGATCCTACACCCTAAACCCTGCACACAAACCTTAACCTTGAGAGCAAAAGGGAACAGCAGCAGTGCAAGCCGCCACAACAAGAACACAATTAAGAAGGGAAGCAGCCCCAGTGAAAGCCAGCGCCACAAGCTGTTTGCCCAAAGCTTTGGCATGGTTTTCAAGGTTGTTTTGTCCAGCAGCATGCCAGTGGCTGAAGTGCAAGTTCGGGAGGACTCCACATGCTGAGCAGCAGCAACACAGATCAATTCATAGCGCGACCCGCATCAATTGTCTTTCAACGGTTCCAGACTGCGTCGGCGCCGTGGTCCTGGCACGAAACAGAACCTTTCCATCTAAGGAAACGAAAGGCAGAGGAGCGTGACGACCAGAGTCCTTGTTGCATAGCGCAGTATCGTGTCAAAGGTGAAGAAGCCAAGCTGCAAACCCTTTCCCCGAGCGGTGGGCCGCCACATACAGGAGAAACCTACACTTCGAGGGTGTCGCTTCGGTTTTGTGGCATTTGAGGTTGCAGTCGCAATAGTTTGAAACCGACTGGGCGAACATGATAGCCAACGTCACCCTAGTTTACGACACTCACTGTCGTCGGTCACGTGACAATCAGACACGAAGCTCCATGCTTCGTACGTGCTATGGGCAGGGTGCGTAGCCGTGCTGAGGTGGCAGTGGCAGGAAAGCGAGTGGACGGGGTGGCAGGAGCCGTAGCTCTGCGCGCAGATGAGCTCGGGAAGTTTGCATTAGGGCCACGAACACGCACTCTGGCAAGGTTTGGGTCAGCACCACGAACGCTCACGGGATCCGCATAGCGGAAAACCTGATGGCTTTGCGTGGAGCCTAAAACTGATTCATCGATGTCAGAGCAGCAAAGGTCGGGCAGTGCTAGCAAGTACTTCGGCCTGCCTCAGGCAACGTGCAGAAGCAGCAGAAAGTTTTGCTGTCGTTTGTCACAGGGGCTGGCTGCGGATGCATATGAGACTGCCGGGCGGGGAGAGCGTGGACCCTGCCGTCGTGAAGACAAAAGGGCATCTTGGTAAACATGCACTCGAAATTGTGCTTTGTTTCACTGGGGATGTTACGGCTTGTCGGAATCGGCTAGAGCTAGTGTGTACAGGTGAGCCAATGTTCCGCGGAGCGTTGTTGGCAAGACGGATGCAGCGCATGCTCGCACCGAGGTGAGGGTTGGGTGTACCATGAAGGGAGCTATTACCCCTTCGTGAGCTTCAAGCATGTTTTCCGCAGCAAGGACAGGGTCTTTTTCAAATCCTTTCAATGGCCCCGCCGCTTCGACGACAAGTCGGAGACCGTAGGCGTTCAGCTGCACGACCAGTAGCGGCGGCGAGAAACCAGTTGTGAGGCGAGTTGCTTTACCGTGGGGCAGTTCGGGGGTGATGCCTTGTCGGTGAAACTAGCATCGAGAGCCCAAAGCAGAACAGACGATTGTGGTGCTTGAATATTGCATGGTTAGTTAAGCAGGGTGGAGGTTATACAAAAAAAGCAAGTCGCCCGTTCTGTGAACCCGGAACCCTAATCGTAAACCCAAACCGTAAACCCCAAGCGCTACACTTGGAACCCTCAGCCCTCAGCCCCAAATGTTTGATTGTTTGACAAACCTAAGTTTAATTATTGGTCACATAGCACCAACAACTCCGGTTGAAGGACGCCTAGCACCATCACTTTGCGTTAGATTTAGGAAGCCGCCCCATTTCGAGGCCGCCTGCTTGGTCACCAACGTCGTTGCCTGTGCAACTCACACGTGCAGCGGCAGACATTCTCAAGGCTGTCTTTCCGTGTTAAGATTTACGACATGAACGTGTTTAGAATGTAAGGGGTCTTACAATTGGTTCATAAGCATGTCACAACGGCCTCATGCAGGCTCTAGAGGGGTCAAAGGCGGTTTGGGTTCCGAGCGACTCCAATATCGTTCATCTAGCTTTTAAGAAAGTAGCCCGAGTATGGTTTCAGCTGAAAGACTGTTACAGATTCCATGGACATGCGATCCAGGGTGCAGAATTTGAGGTTTAGAGATCAAGGTCAGCGGTTCAGGGTTTAGAGTTTTCGGAATAATGCGGGGGTTTGAACATGACAAACACCTGGTAGGAGCTCTCTTTGGCAAGAGCAACATTTTGTGCCTGTGTGACCGAGCTCAAATCCAGCATACGTTATTGCTGCATTGGGCCTTTATGCAGCTTCCGGGTTTTGGGTTCACAGCGTCTGCGAGAAGGTTTGGTTGCAGTGTTTTGCTGCTTGGTCGCTTTCCAGGCGTTTTGGACCGTTCGTGATGCTGTAAACTTTTCAGTCGTAGGCGAAGGCTGTGGTGTGTCAAAGGAACGGTGTTCGGGCTTTGATTGTTGAGGCCATTGAAGGGAGGTGAGAGGGAGAGAAAGAGCGAGAAAAAGAGAGAGAGAGAGAGAGGGAGAAAGAGTTATGCAGCTTGTTTATACATGATTGCATGTTACCTAATTGTTAACTCTACAACTGAGTTGTTGTTGTTTTCTTCTTAAACCCAAAACCCTAAAGTCCCTAAAGTCTTTGTTTTACCATTTGGCCATCTGTCGAGGGGCAGGAACGTAAAAACCCTTTGGCTGTTGAGCACCTTGCATATCCGCCGAGTCCAGGTTATCGAAGACCTTTCGGCCGCGCCCCCACTGTTTAGGGTTTAGGGTTCAAGTAAACCCATGCATGAGCTTCTGGACGACTATAGTCTTGTGAAGCTTAGGTTTAAAGGTTGGAGGCTTACACTTGCCGCTGCTTCACATGCTGCTGCTCCTACTAGTTACTACAGCTATCAGTTGTCATTTCTCACAGCTGCTGCTACTATTGCTTCAGCTAACTCTTCATGCTATTGCCACCCCTGCTTGTATACCTCTCTCTGCTGACCGTTCCTGCTCCACTTACTTCTTCATCAACGTACTACTCGCTCTGAGATTCTCGGATTTCGGCACGTTGAGGGTTTGCCTACTTCGAAGTCCTGCAGATTGAACAGGGTTCGGCAAAAAAAATCAGAAAACTTCCAGAGTTTAGGCGTTTATGGTTCAGGAGTTTAGGGCTTCGTGGTTCAGGGATCTAGGGTTTAGGGGTCTTGGAGCTCCGTTTTTTCGGGCCTGGGGACCACTGAACTCGAGGGGTGGATGGTGTCGCATATGTAAACATTGGATATAGCAGCTTGTTTTACCACAGTTGAAAGGTCAACTTTTTGGGCTTGGGTAAGCTTTGCCGAGACTTCTGTGGCATGGCATTTTTGAGGATGTTCGCCTGAGGCGGCCTGGGAGTGGAACATTGAGCAATTGACTTATCCGCAGTGGTTCTCAGTACAGTTTACATCGCATTAGCACAGGGCTGTGGAGTTGTTCTCTGGGCTCCCATCAAAAGCTTGAGATGCCGTAAACCCTAAATCCTAGGTTTAAAACCCCTTAGAATCTCCTTGAAAGGAGCCCTTGAATCCCAATGATTCAGGCGAGCCCTTCTCCCGGGCTGGTTGCGAAGTTCTTTCTTGACAGGCTGGGGGGTTAGGGTTTAGGGTTTCGGGGTTAGGGTTTCGGTGAGTTTAGGCCTTAGGGGTTAGGGGAGTTTAGGGGGTTTAGAGGGGTGCAAGCTTCAGGGGGTTGAGGATTTTAGGCTTTAGGGGAATTTTGGGGGTTTACGGGAGTTCAGGCTTAGGCTTAAGGATTTAGGGTGTAGGGGAGTTCAGTCATAGGGTCTAGGGTTTAGGGTCGAGGGGAGTTTCGGGTTTTGGGTTAGGGTTCGTTTAAGAGCTACTGTAGGGTTTTGGGGTTTCGGGTGGAGAAATTTAGGCCCTTACATTTGTAATTTTCTTGGTGTTTCAAAAGTTTTGGGGAGTTTGGGGTTTTGGGTTTGAGAGTTTAGGGCTTAGGGTGCAGGGGGTTGGATTGGACGGGCTGTGAAATTTTAGGGTTTCGGGGTTCAGGGTTTTGGGTTTGGGTTCATAGGGCAGCTGTTGCGCAGCTCTTGCTTCGTCATCCGACTAGTTCTGTACATGCGGGCAAAAATCGACAGGATTGCTTGTCTTCAGAGGCCTGGTCGTGGCTTCTTTTTTGGGGCCTTCCATTTCAGCGGCCAATGCACTGCAACAGCGCCAAGCCGGATGGGATCACGAGCTCGACAAGCCGGCCCGTCCGTGCCGACAGAAGGAAGCCAACAGGACCTGATCCTTCGCCTCCCTAGAGACTCCAATATCCCTTAGTTAAGGAATATACCTTAAATCATATTAGGGATCCTACCATAATTTAAGGAATATTCCTTAATTAAGGACATTGGAGTCTCTGGGACCGCAGGCTCACCCCCCCCCCCCCCAAAGGCGGCGGCGGCAGTCTGTCCCTGCGACCGAGGCAGAAAGCCTCCAAGCGGAGCCGACGAAGGGCCTGGGGCTCGGGCTTCATAACCAAGGGTTTAGGGTTTAGGGTTTAGGGTTTGGGGTTTAGGGTTTGGGGTTTATGATTTAGGGTTCAGGGTTCAGGGTTCAGGGTTTAGGGTTTAGGGTTTAGGGTTAAGCACCACTGTATCATGGGAGCACCAGCCAGAGAAGTAGCGGCGTGACGATCAATCAAAGCCACTGAAGGTTTGGGTTTATGTAATCCCTATAGAACGAAAAAGATTAACCTTCAGTTCCCCATGATACCCGACAAGTGGGCTTTCCGGAGCCCTGAACTCTACGAGCTTTCAAGCAGGCCATCAGTCCCCAGCCCTTGGCCATAGCGGCCTTAGCGCTTTAACGCAAATCCTAGGCCTGAGCTGGAATTCGGATTTCCGTACGAGACGTATTGCAAGGATTGCAAGCCCCGACACAAACCCGATGCGCCCGACGCTACGGATTAAGTTTTTCAGGGTTTTGGTCGGTGTGGTTTTTGTGCGGTGTCAAACGCTTAGACGATCTTGCTTAAACTCTATACCCTAAAGGTCAGCAATAATAGATTCCAAAGCCTTCTAATTATTTATACCCTAAAGCCGAATACCTATATTGAGCAGACGGAAAAGGGGTGCAAAAAAGAAGCCCTATATTGACCTCAATCCCCATCGCCTTTCAGCACAGGCTGCCAGCGGCTACTGATGGCCAAAAGCCCACCGAGTAAGGATCTCAGCTTTCGTTTGATAGCTTTTCAAGGGACCGTAATACGTAGAATAGGGTTCCCTCATACAGGATTTTAGTATGGCTGCCTTAATATTTTTAATTATAGGTTTCCAGAATACGGACTTGAAGCAGATACTGGTAGTCCCATTCAGAGGTCAAAAATACGCATACTTGTAGGGGTTTGTCAGGTGTTGGATTTCGGTGTTTTACGGTGGGAATTTGGATTTGGGGTTAGGGCTCAGGGTTTAGGATCTACTTCGCGAAAATCGGGGATCCTAATCTAGTACTCGTACCCGATATAGTCGGATCCCTAGTATAAGGACCCCAAAATAACCCCAATTATCGGAAACTCACAAATTATGAACGTGGGCAAGCTGCAGCTGCGCACACCTGACCTTCGAGCCTCTTCATGCCCTGCCCTCAACCCTGACCACCTACTCTCTGGTTTAGCCTAGTAGTCGAGTAGGGAATCTTTAACCTTTTTTGGGTAGTATAGTCCCTATATAATCAAAAAATGACTAAAACGGTTAACCTTCAGTGCCCCATGATACCCGACAAGTAGGAAGGCGAGCAGAGGCCGAGTCGATTGCCAACCGATCTGGTTGATGGACCGACTTGGAATTCATCGCGAGGAACATGCAGAGCCGGTGGACGCCCTGGTCAATATTCGAGAGTGTCAACATACGGTGCTGCTGTCCACGAAGTGGCCCTGCGGCCAGAGGGTCCAAGATGCCCACATGCTGGCAGATGACAAACAAGGGAAACATTGTTTGCGGCTTGCGTCCGTGCTTAGAGCTGTTGACCTGTAGTTCTCACCTGCACACTAGACATACTTCTCAATAAAACTCTAAACCTTAAACCCTAGACTCCAAACTCTGAACCCTAAACATAAACCCTTGAGCCGTAAACCCGAAAACTGTGCCCACCACAGATCCCGACCCCTTGATTCCCCCGCAAAGCTTAAGTAGGGGTTGGTTTTAGGGCTGCTACAGGAGTTACTAATCCAGGGGCCTTAATAATTAGAATAGGATTTCGGTGCCCATTATACTATAACTAGACAATTATTTACGCCCCTATATCATAGGGTATACTAGTTTTACTATAGCCCTTGTCAAACCCGCCAAGGCCTCAAGCTCCCACTCCTCCCCCCACAAAGAAAGCTTTTAACCACAACATAAACTAACCATTGATATTGGAGAATCTACGGAGCTAGGGATGATGACAATCCCTATCAAATAAGGAGCTAAAGAGCCAACGGAACCCCCAAACCACGGGTTAGTAAAGGACGACTGAAAACACGCGACCGTCAACACCAGATTTTGCAAGCGATGAACGGCACGAAAGAAACTAGGAAAGGTTGACCCTAAACCGTATAAGCCCGAAAGAAACTAAGCAATGTTGACCCAAAACCCTAAACCCAAAACCTTACATCCGAAAGCCCTACACCCTAAGCCCGAACTAAACTAAGCAAGGTTGACCTTAAACCCAAAACCTTAAACCGGAACGACACTAAGCAAGGTTGGCCCTAAACCCTGAACCCAAAGCCCGAACCAAACTAAGCAAGGTTGGCCTGCGTCAGGGCCTTGGCTTTCTTGAGATTGGAGCCTTTCGAGCATAGACTGTTTAGGGTTTAGGGGTACTTTCAGGGTTTCCGGGTTCCTTTAAGGGTTCCTTTAAGGGATCTATGGGGTTGAGGGTTTCGGGGTACTTTCAGGGTTTGGGGTTTTGGGGTTTAGGGTTTGGGGTTTAGGGGTACTTTTCAGGGTTTGGGCTTTCTGGTACTGTCTCTGGCATTTGGAAAGATAGTCTGGGGTTGAGCGTTACCCAGAGACTCCAATATCCCTTAGTTAAGGAATGTTCCTTAAATTACATTAGGGACCCTACTGTAAGTTCAGGTATATTCCGTAATTAATTAAGGGATATTGAGGTCTCTGGGTTAAGGAATATGGAGTGGTTGAAGCTTCGGGTTTCTGAAAAGCAGAGGTCTCTGTTGGGTTTTTAGTTTTGGGGACGGTCCCTGTATTAAGGATATAACTGTTTTGCGAGCCATGAGATGGTGACCATGACGATGATGGGATGATGGCAACAGGTTGGGGTGATTATGCTGATGATGATGTGGCCTTTTCCCGTTTCCTCCGTGCACACTCTGTTCCCATCCATCATCATGCTGATGCCGCTTATGCACTGGCATTGCCGCTGCCATTGACACCTCCGTTCTTCACCAGTCTTCCTTGGCTATCCAGTCCCTGGGCACAGGCATTTGAGCTTTATCCGATTGAAATTTACGTTGATGGTCTAGAAAATTGGGGTTTGGGAGGGTTGGAGGTACTGTTGCAGCAGTCAGCATCCACTACGTCACTGCGTACTTCTTCAGCCTTGTCCTTTTTCATGGTTCCCCCAAAAGAATAAACAGACCGGCGAGTAGACCTTCTTAAATAGTTCCTACTAAGGGATATAGGTATAGGGCTCTGTCTATTATTTCTAAAAGGACAAGGGTGACTTCTTTCACAACTCTTAGCAGAACCCTGCCGACGCAAAGGGGTTTTGTTTAAGCTAAACGCTGAACCCGAAATCCTGTCACAACACTAAACACGAAAACTAAACTGAAACTCTAAACTGAGGCGCAAGCTCCTAACCTCGAAATCCTAGACCCTTATTAAGCCCTAAACTCTGAACCCTAAAAACCCCGACATTCTCTGTATTTGGGCTTGCCGGGGCAAGGCTGAATCCCAAACGTTCGATCCCGTAGACCGACACGTTTTAACCTAATGACTTTGGGTTTAGGGTGTAGGGCTTATGGAGGGTTTGGGTCCGGGGTTTTGACGAAAAGTGTTGACTCAACGTTTTGTGCATTGCTTGTCATTTCGATCCGGGAACTGGGGCTGTGGTGGTGCTGTTGCTTGGACTCTTCCAAACTAGGCGGTACTGTGGGCAGGGCTGGAGATCGCAATGGGGGGGGGTAGAGGGCGGCTGAAATGGACGGTTAAAGGGGCTCAAGCCCTAAGCCCCAAACCCCAGACTAAGCCGGAACCTCTCTAAACCCTAAGCCCCAACCCACGCTAAATCTGAACCCGAAGCCCTAAACGAAACCCCAAAGCCTACCTTAACCCCACATAAGCTACGTTCTTACTAACTTATAGAGACCCTAAACTCGAAACCATACTGCCCTCGCAGCTCGAAGCCCCAAACCCGCAAAAGCCTAAAACCCTACTTAGAGGATCATGGGACTTAGTAAGTAGGTTATAACTGGGCTTATAAGTCCCCTAAGTGGGGTTATCCTAATTATAACCTACTTATAACCCTACTTACTAAGTCCCATGATCCTTCAAGTAAGCCACAAAGCCCTACCTGAACCTGCCGAAACCTACTTTTCTGTAGGGCCCCTATCCGGTTTTTACTAAGGGGCCATAGTCGAAACCTACAAGAAGCAGGCTATGGTAGCTTAAAGGCCCGAAGCCCTAAAGCGACAAAGACCCTTAAAGCCCCAACCGCATTCCTAAGCCCTAAACCCCAAACCCTTAAAATCCTAAACCCTGAAATCCTCAAAAGCCGCAGTCCCAAATCCTCAACCCTACTTGAAGGCTCATGGGACTTAGTAAGTAAGGTTATAAGTAGGTTATAATTAGGATAACCCCACTTAGGGGACTTATAACCCCAATTATAACCTACTTACTAAGTCTCATGATCCTCTAAGTAAAGCCCCAAGCCTTTTTAAGGACTTATATAAAGAACTCGTATTAGGGAACTCTAAAAAGGTAGGTTCCTTACGGTCCAGGTAATTATTAAGGCCCTTAAGAACCCTATACTAGCCCTATAGTACCCTTAAAGGGGAGCCTATTATAGAACCCTATAGTGCCCTAAACAGGGTAGGTTCCTTAGGGTCCAGGTTAACGCACCAAAAGCCGCATTCTCCAGGCATTGCTGGCCGACGCATCTGAAGGTCTCGGCCCAGCTTTGGCTGCTCTCAAGGTGGCGAAGGGTTTGGGCTTTAGGGTTTAGGGGTTTAGGTTTAGGGGTTTTAGGGTTTAGGGTTTGGTTTCAGGGGTTTGGGTTTAGGGGTTTCGGGTTTAGTGTTCAGGGTTTTGCAAGTTGTTGGGTTTCGGGTCTATAGGATCCTAAATTTGAGGTTTAGGGTTCAGGGCTTAGAGTGGTTCTTAGGGCCTGGAGGAACTATTTTAGATATGTGTGTATGTCTAACTGTGTGGAGATAGGCAGATACAGAGTAAGATCATCCAGCAGCAGAGTCTATTATCCCTGCTTGCATATCGGAAAACGGGTGCACACAGGATGCTCGATAAATGTGGTGTGTGAGTGAGAGCCCGTGTGAAGCTGATCCTGTACACCCCGACAATATCCGACAATCATAAAGGCCATGGACAGGGCTTTATCCGAGACTGCAATATTTTGCGCAACAAAACAGTGTGATTCCCTTCATTGTTTGTGAGAATCTTTCGTCACATCAGGATTTGCGGCATGCAGCATCAATGACCACAGGTGTTCTTTGGCTTTCAGAAGAACTGGACAGTGTCGTATGTCTTGAAAAACAGTTTGAACTATTCATGCCACGATATCATTCGTAAGGTGAGCCTCAAGTCAAGCCCTAAACCGAATATCTCAAAAACCCCAAAGCCCTAACCAAACCCGCACCCAACACTAGCCCAAAGACCTAAACCCATTGAGTTGAACCGAAATGGACTTACGATTGCATTTTTCTCCCAAGTTTGACCTCCTGGTTTGTTTGGCATGCCTGCAGGAGGTCGTGCTCAAGCAGGTCATCGCTGCAATCCTTCCCCAGTTTGCGGCTATTCGCGGCATCCCTGCGTTCGGAGCTCATGCACCGGCACAGCGTGGTTTTGTAAGTGGCTTCATGACTTCTTTAGAGTCATCGGAAGCGGGGTTGTGGCTTCATTGGGGCTTTACTCGGGTACGTGTCATACGCAAGGATAAGGATCTCATCAAACAAGGTTTCGGGAATGATTGCTACCGTCATGTGGTCTCGATGCAGTCAATGAACCATGGAACTAAGCATGACCGTTATGATTTCTCTGGTCTATGGCTTTCATGTAGTGATCATGGTCACTACCAGTACAAAGCCTGAATATGGCGAGTATGACTTTCTGCTGTCACTACTCTATGTTCTTCAATAGATATTTGTATTGGTCGTCGTAGGAGTAGCAGTAGCGGTAGCGTTAGGGGTAGTGGTAGCGGTAGCGGGTAGCGGTAGCTGTAGCTGTAGCAGCGGCGGTAGCGTCGCGGTAGCGAGCGGTAGCGGTAGCGGTAGTAGTAGTAGGAGTAGTAGGAGTAGTAGTAGTAGTAGCAGTAGTAGTAGTAGTAGTAGTAGTAGCAGTAGTAGCAGTAGTAGCAGTAGTAGTAGTAATAATAATAGTAGTAATCGTAGTAGTAGTAGTAGTAGTAGTAGTAGTAGTAGTAGTAGTAGTAGTAGTAGTAGTAGTAGTAGTAGTAGTAGTAGTAGTAGTAGTAGTAGTAGTAGTAGTAGTAGTAGTAGTAGTAGTAGTAGTAGTAGTAGTGGTAGTGGTAGTGGTAGTGGTAGTGGTAGTGGTAGTGGTAGTGGTAGTGGTAGTGGTAGTGGTAGGGGTAGTGGTAGTGGTAGTGGTAGTGGTAGTGGTAGTAGTAGTAGTAGTAGTAGTAGTAGTAGTAGTAGTAGTAGTAGTAGTAGTAGTAGTGGTAGTAGTGGTAGTAGTGGTAGTAGTGGTAGTAGTAGTAGCAGTAGTAGTAGTGGTGGTGGTGGTGGCGGTGGTGGTAGGAGTACCAGCAGGAGCGGTAGTAGTAGTTTTGTAGTAGCAGTTGCAGTGACAGGGATAACAATACTGTTGTCGCTGTAGTATATCCTGTTCTCCAATGTCGTTCCCAATCGTTTGCTCCGTGCTTCACGTGACATGACTGGAGCAGGCTGTGTCTGAGTGGTCGTTTAGGGTTTAGGGCAGACGAAGTTTGTAGGCTGGAGTACAGAGTTTGCAGGCACTGGGTTTGCGGTCTCGCGTGCATACGGTTCGTAGTGTGAGCGCTAGCTCCGGTATGATTCATATTCTGTTCTGCACCTGTTCTCCTAAGTGCTATTTATTGGTGAACCGACACACGGATTTACTGAAAGTACCCCTAGCACCTCCAAGGTCCACACCTGCATGAACCCTAGAGCAAGCCTCGAAATCTAACGCAACTATCCCGGAATCCTTAAAATCCTGAGGACCCTAAGCCTGTAGGCCAAAAGGGATCTGGGTTTAGGGATTAGAGTTCGGGTTAGCGCAAAGGGCTTTTAGGGTTTAGGTTAGCGCAAAGGGCTTCTAGGGTTTACCTGAACCTTCCAAAACCTAATTTTTTGTAGGTTCTTATGTTAAAACCCTAGTATGAAATTTATAGGGACCCTACAGAAAAGTAGGTTCTGGTGGATTAAGGCAGGGTTTAGGGTCTGAGCCCGGAAGCCTCAAAGCCAAGCTAACCCGCCGAGGTTTTATCGCATGCTCAACAAGCCGGCATCGACCTCAGTCAAAGGGGAGCTTCCAGGAAGAAATCGGATGAAGGCCTCTAATGACTAGGATCTCCAGTAGTGTCCTTATTCCCTTTTTGTAGTCCTAGGTTCCTTATAAAGTTACCCCATACCAAAAAGAGAGGCCTTTTTATTCTTAGGTTATTGGGTATCCTAGATGATGTCAATAATATCTAGGCTCTTCCTTATCATTTTCATGGTATAATTAGGAAGAAATCCGAGCTTTGTAACTTAGGACATCCTGAAGGATCATGATTGGATCATATAGGGGCCTAAATAAGAACCAACAATATTTTGGTAGTTCCTTTTTATGTTTACGGTATAAAGCCCTCAGAACCCTACTCTAATTAGTAAGGCCCCGATAGTATCCACTTGTCGTCCCTATATGCTTATGCAAAACAATTTCCCAGAGACTCCAATATCCCTTAATTAAGGAATATTCCTTAAATTATAGTAGGATCCCTTGTATGATTTAAGGAATATTCCTTAATTAAGGGATATTGGAGTCTCTGGGTTCAAGCCTCGACCCTAAACCTCAAACCCTACACCGTTTTGCTTAAGTTCATCTCTCGTCGCATCATCGAGGCATCTCTTGCATAACTTTGCACCGGCAAAGTTCTGCAGGGGTTCTTGCAGGACACTTCTGGGTTTTAGTGGGGGTTGGAGGTTTGGGTATAGGGGCAAGGTGTTCACAAAGGTTTCATGTGATCTTCCACGTCCTTTGACTTCTTTTGTTCAGCGGGTTTCGTTTTGATTATGGGGTTGGGGTGTTCGGGAGAGGGCTTTCTGGCTGTCGCACTTATGGGTGGCAAGTGTCTGAGCAACTTGCTTTGCTTCCATTCCATTCCAATCTAATCCTGTCTACCCCGCTCTAATTTGTCATGTCTAATCTTATCTTGGTCTAAAATCCAAGTCTGAACCGACAAGTCCAACTCTAATCATAAACATCTACAACCTCCATTGAATCAAGTGTTTCCCTAGCCGTCCCAAAAGCACAGACCCTTTCCAACTAAGCTTAGCCCATCAAATGGTAACTGCTTGCTTCAACTATCCTTCCACCTACACTTCTTGGTTTTCTCGGGACTGGTTGATTAATTTTAATTTTAATTCATCTTATTTTCTAAGTCTTTTGTTTGTTCATTTTTGGCGTGCTGCTTCAGCCCGCAGCCCTCGAACCAAAGCAGCACCCGAAATGGAGGTGACACCCAACTCGGAGTTTCCGAAAATTAGGGGTGCCCTACTTTGGGGTCCTTAGAACACGGATCCTACTATTTAGGGTACTATGTTACTTAAAGGCTCATGGGACTTAGTAAGTAAGGTTATAAGTAGGTTACAATTAGGATAATCCCACTTAGGGGACTTACAACCCCCAGTTATAACCTGCTTGCTAAGTCCCATGATCCTCTAAGTACTATTTGGGGTACTATGCTAGGGTCCCCTATTTTCGGAAATTCCCAACTCGAGGCGGAACGGCTAGGGAATTGTTGGATTTGAGTCTTATCTACCCTACTTGGAGGGGCAGGGGACTTAGTAAGTAGGTTATAAGTAGAGTTATAAGTTCCCTAAATGGAGTTCCCCCAATTATAACCCTACTTATAAACGACATACTAAGTCCCCTGCCCCTCCAAGTAGCCTAACGTGAGCTAGCCTTAGCTTCAACTTAGAATAGCTTAGCCTCGCCTAGGGCTAGTTAACCCAGAACCAATTTCACTCTTAAAGCCGCTATTTGAGGGCCTTAGACCTGCATTTTAAGCCTTGGGGTTTAGACTTCGGGCTTTAGGGGCGGGGGGGACCCGAATAAGTAGGCTTCGAGGATTATGGGTTTGGGTTTCGGCTCGGCTACTGACGTCAGGGCTGTGTGGTCGTTCTTGCACTGCAGCGCTTCTATGGAGCATTCGCAGAATCGCAAGGTGTCAGAAAAAGTCAGACAATGCCGTCAAGCTTTGCCACTCTAACTGCCACCATTCCTGCCGGCTCGGCAACTCAACCACGTCGCACCGAAGACAAAGTGGGAAATCCACACCCATGCAGACGGCAGAACAGCCTAGCTGCAACATTCCATAGCCTCGAGCTGCCAGTGTGATACCGGAGCCATAGCGAATAAGTAGGCTAGCGATTAAGTAAGCTAGAAACCTGCCTCTGGAGAAGCCTCAATCATGGTCTTCTACGTCAAGCCTTCCCAAACCCTCAAACTCCCAAAAAACATTCATTTCGAAAGACTCTAAAACTACTACACTATGCCCTTATAGAACCCCTATAGATCCTTTAAAGGAGCCGGTTCAAGAGACTGGTGGCATGGTCTTGGGTTCTGTGACGTCACCCCCTACTTCAGGTGGCTACCAGGGATAGCAGTGGTAACAGTAATCTTATTCGCGTATCTTTTTTCGTACATTGAACCTACGACTACCTAAACCTCTAAACTCTAAACTCTCGAATTTTGAAGCGCTTGCTACACTGCCGAGAGCACCGCTGACCATTTGCATGGCGCTCGAGGCTCCGACCGAGAGTACAGTAAACCCCACAAAGTTGGAAACCGGATTAAGGCCAAATAGTGCTGGGATTCCCTATACACTACTCTTGAGGATTGAGGCTATGGGGTCTCCAACTTTTGGGCTTCTACTGTAAAGTCTCCTGGTACTGACGCCGCCCCGCTGATGACCTGTCTGCCGTTTGGCAGTACTTACAGGCTCATGGGACATAGCAAGTAAGGTTATAAGTAGCTTATAATTAGGATAACCCACGTAGGGGACTTATACTCCCAATTATAACCTACTTACTAAGTCCCATGATCCTCTAAGTAAAGGTAGACACCAAACCCAGGGGAGCAGGGGCAGGGATGGGCCCCTACGTTCCACCGCGAAAACGGCCCGACGCAAAAACTGGGAACTTGGCCGGGGGCCTCGGTCGGAGCCTCGAGCGCCCATGTAAGTGGTCGACGGCGTTCTCAGTTCTAGGCTTTGGTTTTCTTGATCTTCGGTCTTCAAGAACACCAGGGGGGACATCGTTTTCTAGAACTGGTTCCAAAAAACCCTGAACCCGAAAACGTCTTGCACTGAAGATTTCGCCCAGGTTCCCACGAAGGCATCTCCTTACGTGGAGTCCGCCATCAGGCCTGCAATCCCGTGCTTTTTATCTATAGCTTCGTATAAGTGCTGCTTCAGTGCTACCGCTAAGCCTATTGTTGCTACGACACTTTCACCTTCCGTGTCTTTTGCAGCAGTGGTCGAACGTTGGTAGTTTGCTGGTCTTGATGATGGTGAGGACCATCGTCGCATCGCATAAGCCAGTATCTGTGGCACGGGAAGTGTAAGCAGTAGTGGGTCGCGCCCCATTTTCTCAATGCCCCTAGATGATGGAACCACTTTAGTAGCCCTTCTAAAACCCTTTAATTCTATAAATTATAGAAACCTTTGAGGGAACCCTTAAGACGAACACTTTAAAGAACCTTTGGAAGGGAGCCCTAGAGGGGAACTATTCAGCACGAAGCCCACACCAGTGACGCCCTGAAAACCCTGACATGCGTCTTTTCAGGGTACTGTGTTCGCGGGCTGAAGGCCGATGGTATTTATTAAACAGCTCAAGGGACTTGCTAAGTAAGGTGAAAGTAAGGCTATAAATAGGACATAACGCCACTTTGTGGACTCATATCCCCAATTATAACCTGCTTACCATGTCCCCTGAGCCCTTAAGTAGCTCTTTGGAAGACAGCTGACCCCGTATCAACCCCTGAGCATTGCAAAGGCTCGGAGTCTGTCATGCTGAGGGTGGCAATTTCCCATCATGACTCGGGGCAAGAAATATGACAACGTCCCTCAGAGTTCCTTGTCGTAAGCATGGTAGATTTACCCCAAAACCTGATTCTGACTATGAAGGCAAGTGTACTCTACGAGGAGGGTTTTAGCGATGTGGCGCTTCGCTGACAGGCCATTGACAGCATTTCAAGATGTCCTTGCGCGGCGCTGAGCTGAACTGCTGCATGGATCTTCTTCTGCTTAGCCTAAACCGTAAAAGCCCCCCTCAACCCTGAACCCTGCGTAGGTTTCACCCTCGACCGTGGACTCTGAATTGATAGACAGGTAAAGTTGTTTGTTGTGTGTTTTTTTTTGGGGGGGGTTTAGGGGTTGGGATCAAGTTTAGGGTTTCCGGTAAAGAGGGTTTAGGGTTTAGGTTTTCGGGCTAACCGTTGAAAGTGTTTAGACTTAGTCTCTTGTCCACAAGCTAGCGTCTCTGGTTGATCGATGTAGAAGCCTAGAAAACTACCACTATTATTCCTTAGGATTCCTTCTCATAAGTAGTACGTACTCCGAAACTCTATTCTCCCTCAACTCTAAACCCTATCCTAAATATGGTGCTTGTCAAAATTAGCGTCCCTTTTTGGGTCCTTATTATAGTACGGCACCTAATATCTAGGGAATTCTGGCAACTACCCATATTAAGGCCCCTACAGAAAGCCCAGTGCAGGTGGCTTTTCGAGATTTCGACGCGGGTAGGTCGCAGTAGGGTTTAGGGTTTAGGGTATAATACGGCACCCTTACCTCTACTTTAGAGAACTACCCATGCGATAGTACAGCTGTTCTAATCAACATAATATACCCCACATCCCTGTAATGATTTCTAAGGGCCCTATATTGCCTGCAAACACTTCAAGCCTTAGCTTGCAGCATCTTGCGCGCGTGTGCTACCAGTACGGACGATATGTGTACACCAAAGATGCAGGTGCAGAAATGGTCACATGTGAACGATACAAAAGCAAAAGGATAGTTCTCTGGCTCACGGTCTCGTGTATGGTCCCCAAATAGTACGGGACCCTTCTAGACAGGACCCTAAAAGGGAACCGAATTTAGAGAACTACCCTTCTCGTGCCCTTCTAGAGAGCTTTTGGAAACCCTTATAGACTTATAGATCCCTTTTCAGGAGCCCTAAACGGGACCCTGACTTAGAGAACTACCCGAATCCAGACATGCGCGCGCACCCGGAGGTCAGTGCGGCCATGGGTGGCACAGCTGCAGCTTCCGAATGGCTCAGCGATATCGCCAGGGCCTCAGAGAAAGAGTTTGCGAGAAGGAACTCTCTTTTGGTTTAGGATGTTTTAGTCAGGGTCTGGGTGCTTTAATTGTTGTTTTGTGTGGCCTTATCGGGATGCTGAAGGTTGCTGCAAAATTCTGAGAGGGCTGTTGCTGATCTCTGTAGGGTGCAATTCCAGCAAATCAGAATTCTATGCGCAGGTCACGATCTGTAGTGTATTCCAGCTGTGTTATTCCACATATCACAAAAAAGCCGATGTGCATGCATGTGGGTGGTTGTCAAAATTCTGGTTCCTTTTTGGGTACCATAAATATTAGGTGCCGTACTATATTAGGGACCCAAAAAGGGACCCTAATTTTGACAACCACCCATGTGTTTGTGCGTGTGTGCGGAAGCATGAAGCTGGCGTGCTCGGAGCTTTAGAAAGGAAACTTTGGGATCCGGTTTAGGGTTTAGGGTTTAGGGTTACAGGATATTTCTTCTCAGGATCTTATTGCAGTAGTTCTGGGCCCCGTATGTCAGCTGCTTGCACAGGTTTACGATTTACGAAGTCATAGTAGGTATCTGTTGATAAAATAAAAGTATGTACTGAACTTCAGGTTTTTGATATGTTGAACCTAGTCGTTTGCGCCAGCTTCGGGCATCTCCCATTTCCGATGCTCTACCCTAAACCCTAAACCCTAAACCCCTAAACCCTAAACCCCTAAACCCCTAAACCCTAAACCCCTAAACCCTAAACCCCTAAACCCCTAAACCCTAAACCCTAAACCCTGACTGACTTAAGTCGGCAGCAGCCTCCATCCATCATCTGAAGCCTCGGCTCCACATCCTTAAACCTTAAAACCTAAACCATGAAACTCATCCCCTAAGCCTCAAGCCCTACAGCCAGCACCTGAAAGCCTTATAGAACCCTTATCAACAAGGACCTTGGGCCTAAATAAACTTACTATACTATTCTGGGGCTTCCTTATTATAATTATAGTAAATGTACCCCCAAACTCTATTCTAATTATTGAGGCGGCCCCTATGTTACACGACATGCTCCGGAGCCATGAGGTCGATGGCGCTTCGCAGGAGTTCACCTCGCAGGTGTTTCTTTCGTCGAAGACATGTTTGGGGTTTAGGGTTCAGGGTAAAGGTTTGCCGTCGGCTTTGACATGATGTCTAAAGTATACCAAGAGTATTTGTGATACGGCCATTTTGGGACGGAATGTGGCTTTGAAGTTTTGGGGTGTCAGGGCTTGGTGTCGAAATGGTCCAGGGACTGTTGTTGCTGTGAGGGTTTCTTGATGCATTATGGCTTTATGTTTCAGGTTTCTTAGAGGTAAAAATAGTCGAGGTAAATAATGTGCTAAGTCTTTAGTAGCACTGTCCTGCTATAGTTCCTCTATATACCAAGACTCTACAGTATACCCGAAAAGATGGTTAAAACTCGTAACGCGCTACATGTAGAAGCCTACATAAGTACTCATGGGTTACCAGGTTTTAGGGTTACGAGTACTACTCTTTGGGGTTCCTGACCTGTGCTCATTACGCAGGCCCCTACGTCGTACAGGGCGCTGGATGCTCCTTAGCCTCTGCCCCAAAACTCCACTGGCCACGCCAGTTTAGAAACCCTAAACCCTGAACCCTAAAGGGTTTAGGGTGCTGAGGCTTTCTTTTAGGGTTAATGTGGGTTGTCCTTTGTATGGTCCTCCGATACAGAATAGACTTCTCGGTTGAGGTACCTTCTTTGAGGATTCATGTTTAGGGAATGGGGCCCTGTCTGCTATAAACCGAAACACCTCTGAATCCTTCTGCCATTCCGTCAGTTGCTTTAACCTATATGTGTACTCGAACTTACTGATTCGGTGTACATTGAGACACCGCAATATGCAGATCAGATCGATCCTGGGAGCAATCCCGATAAGTGCAGCGGCTGGGGCCGCTTTTTTCAGTTCTGTCAACGGGGCGATTTTTAGTTGAAGATCAGGGTTTAAGAAAAGCTCCAGGTTTAGGGTTTCAGGTTTCGGGGGTAAAGCTCAAGGTTCAGGGTCTGGGGTTCAGGGTTCTGCGGGTCATGTCCTGAAAGGCCACGCAGCTGATCGAGCTCACTCGGCAGCAGGAGGACTGCACAAATCGTGTCCTTGCCAGGTTCTGTGATTTAGGTTTAACCCGACGAGCAACCCTACCCCTAGCCCGAAACCCGTAAACCGCCAGAGGCCAACCCAAAGCCCGAAATCAACACGTGAGTTGTCTTCGTGCCCTGGTGCATGAATCCCCAAACCCTAAACCCTGAACCGCAAACCCCAAACCCGAAACCCTATGAACCCCGAATGCCCCCCGGCCCCCCACCCCCCCCCCCCAAAAAAAAAAACAAACATTTCGGCCCCTGTAGCACAATAAACCAATCCCAAAACCAACATGGGTATTTAGGGTTTAGGGTTTTGGTAAAGCGCATTTTCCCTCAAAGTGAACCTATTTTTGTAGTCTTCTAACCGAGACTCCAAACCCCCGAGGGCCCCACCACGAAAACATCTACTGTAGGGTAGGGTTCCTTTTTATAACGGAAGTATAATGGGCCCCAAAACCCTATTCTAGAAATTAAGGCCTTTCCTATAGATCCCTTATAAACCCCTTTAAGGAACCCTTCAAAGGAGCAATATTCTGATTATTAAGACCCCGATTATTAAGACCCCTAGATTACTCTGGCAGTTTGGGGTCAGAGCTGGCAGCTCTGCATTCAGGGAAAGCTGGTTGCTTCCAGGTAGCCCCAGAGACTCCCATAGCCCTTAAGTAAGGAATACCTAGGGACCTAGGGTTCCTTTAAGGGGTCCTTTAAGGGATATATAGGGTGTAGGGTTTTGGGGACTCCAATATCCCTTAATATTAAGTAACCCCAAAGGTCCAAAGGACCCAATAATTAGGTACTCGGTTTTAGGATAGTAGTTATGTAGGTTAGGATTTTGGTGAGTATATGATTATTAGGTACTTGGACCCTTGGGGTAAGGAATATTCCTTAAGTCATGTTTGGGATCCTAGGTACTCCTAAATTAAGGGATATTGGAGCCTCTGGGCCTGGTATAAAGCCTACTTAAAGGCTCATTGGACTGAGCAAGTAAGCTTGTGAGGAGGTCACGAATAGGAGAGCCGCGCCGAGGGGACTTATGACCCCAAGTGTAACCTACTTACTAAGTCCCATGATCCTCTAAGGGAGTCATAAGTAACCCGTAGAGTAACACTAAGACCCTACACTTCAAGCCCTCGAAACCTCATGGCTTTGTAGGCACCCCCAAAGGAGCCCTTAAACGAAACCATAAAGGCACCCTCAAAGATACCCCAGTTTTCCTAAACCCTGACCCCTAAACCCAAGGCACAATTTCCTTCTCTCGTTGGGAGCAGGGCCATGCCGGCGAGCAAAGACCGAATCACCCCAGCTTTAGTGAGACCCAGGCACCCTCAAAGGGAACCCCTACACCCCGTCAACCCCTAAACCCTAAACCTAGGCACCCTGAAAGGGACTTCAGTTTCAAGCATTTTGCCAGGCTTCCCTTCGACGACTGGGGGGCCGAGGTTCTGGAGGGGAGGCCGTAAGGGTTTAGGGCTTAGGGTTCAGGTTCAAGTGTTTGGGGTTTTGTTTTGAAAGGGGGGTTAATAGTGCAAATTTAAGGGGTTGAGGTTTAGGTTTCAGGGTTTAGTTGGGGGTTTACGGATAAGGTCCTTGCGGAACATTGCAGTACCGCCGTAGCCTAATTTCCAAGCCCTAGACTGTCAGGGTCTGGGGCTTTCGGGGTTTGAGTTTGAGATCTGGAATTTTTTATGGTTTTTGGGTTTACGGCTAATCAAGGTCTAGAGCTGTAGGCTTCAGGAGCTTTTCAATTTTCCGGTTTGAAAAGTTTGTCATCTTTTGAAAGAGTACGAAGGGTGGATCCCGATCTCGACCCTCGCGACGTTGTTCTGCTCATTTTTTCAGCTGTGTCCTTGCACCCACGTACACATATACGTCTCGTGTATCATGTGTACATATATATATATAACATATATATATATATATATATACATACATGTATGTATAGAGCTTCTTGCATGGGAACACGGCATGATCTACAGCCAGAAGTTTTTGAAGACGGCAGTATGGAGTGGCGGCCTTCAAAGACGAATGCAGAGCCGTCAGGGCCTTGGAAGCGTGGCGTGACCAGCGATCCAAAAAAGTCTGTGGCAGAGTCCTTCTCTGCTTCACCAGGCATCTCCTTGAGCCAGTCTCTAACCTAGTAGTAGAGTAGGGAACCTTTAACCTTTTTGGGTATATAATCCCTATATAGCCAAAAAGGTTAACCTGTAGTTCCCCATGATGCCCGACAAGTAGGCTAAGGTACCACCCAAAGTTGCATGCTCGAGCGGTCACTCATGTGACGTCAGGAAGAGCTCAAGAACTGCAAAGACAAACCGACAAACAGAAGCACTGTCTGGCTGAGGTGCAGTTTTGCGCCACACAGAGCCTCGGGAGACAATGTGCTGGAAAGCATTGGCTTGGGTGATGCCGCAGCAGCCGTGGCAACCTATGGGGTTCATGCCCTTCCCAGGGATGCCCATGGGATACCCCTATCCAGTCCCTGCTCCTAAAAGAGCTGACCAGGCTGACCCGAAAGGGAAAGCAAAAGGCAAGGGACGCACTGGAGAGGAAGGTACCGTGAACCGCTGCCAGGCGCTCATGGAAGGAATGACATCGGGCAGGCTACTGGCCGTGCTCAGGCACGGCTCAGCTGTCCTCGCGGAGAAGTCTCCGAACTATTTGAATGATCTCGTTTGTGGACTCCAGAGCTGGGGTTGTAAGTCCCCTAAGCGGGGTTATCCCAACTATAAGCCACTGACAAGCTTACTTACTAAGTCCCATGAGCCTGCAAGTAGACCCTAAATCAGGTCTCCGATTTGGAGAAGCACGGAACCCCTTTTGCCTTCTAAACAGTACCTAAACCCTAAAACCTGTAAGCCAACCCTAAGCCCTAAACTCTAAACTCTAACCCCGACCCCCGGGAGGATCTAGAAAGTAGATCCCCTAATTTGGGGCCCTATACTGCTAAGGGTACTTTATACGAACCCCCTTTAAGGGATCGACTGTTGGATCCTCCCGGGGGTCTGGGAAAGAAGGTCTCCCACTTGGAGAAGCACTCTTTTTAGGAACCCCTTTTACCTAAACAGTATATACTAAATTCTTTAAGGTAATCCTTTACCCTAAACTCTAAACTCTACAGCAGGTCTCCGACTTGGAGAAGATCCATCTGCAGCTTTGCCTCGATGTGGACACCTTCGTCGGCCTTGTAGGAGCCTCAGACGGTTTAGGTTTAGGGGTTTGGGGTTTAGGGTTGAGGGCGTTAGGGTTTAGGGGTTAGGGTTTAGGGGTTTAGGGTTTAGGGTTTCAGTGGTTTAGGGTTCCTGTAAGCCCAGACTTTCGGGAGGATCCAAAAAGTAGATCCCTTAATGGGGGTTCCTATAAAGCACCCCTTAGTAGTATAGGGCCCCAAATTAGGGGTTCTACTTTCTAGATCCTCCCGGGGTTCTGGAAAGGTTTACTATAAGGGTTCTATTGAGGGTCTTTGTAAGGGTTCCTATGGTGTGAGGGGGTTCGTCTTCCGGCCTTACGTCCTATGTAGATTTTGGGGCTGTGGGGTTTAGGGTTTAGCAGACCGACGACCGAGACGAACCAAGGTGAGCCCCTTTTAACCCTAAGCCCTAAACCCTGAACCCTAAATTAAAACCCTACAACCCTAAACCCTACAACCCTAAACCCTAAAACCCTAAGCCCCAAAGCCTAAAACCCTAAACCCTACACCCTAAGTAAAAGCTCTAAGCCGCAACGGATCTCAGGCGTCGAAACCTGCCGCAAATGCTCAAGGTCTGACGAAGCTGACCGAGGCAACCTGAGCCCTTGCTGTCGGGATCTTAGGAGTTCTTAGGGTTTAGGGTCCTTAGGAGTTCTTAGTTAGGGTTTTCGGTTTTAGGGGTTTAGGGTTTAGGTCTTAGGAGTTCTTCATCCATTTCTTTAAAAATCCCAACGTAGTATTCTTAAGATGTCTTCATTCATCATTTTACAATTCCTAGGGATTGTTTGAAATAATGATGGTTCTACGGGCGCCTTAGGCTGCAGCTCGGCAGATAAGAGTACCGTTTTTGGAAGGGGTCTTTGAGGGTCTAAGCGTTTGTTGTTTAGGTGTGTCGACGTTAGGGGTTTAGGGTCTTTGGGGGTTAGGGTGAGGGCCACCTTGAACCTTGTGAGCGTGGCAAGTCGGCATGCATGTTTGATTCTCGTGTGGCCTACAATCGAAACGACCTATCCTGGAGTGTCTGTGCCCATGCTTATCCAGTCTGTGTCTATGTATGTATGTGCATGTGTATGCATGCATACAGACAGATATCATCCTATCGGGGAAGGAGGCCGACAATCCAATGCTTGAGTTCCTTCCTGCGCGTTAGCTTTTCTCGCCGCCCTCTTTTACGTGAGGCACTTTATGCAACTTAGTTTCAATTGCCATCGTAAGGGTGTTATAACAAAAAGCAAACATGCATGCTTTGTGTATCATGGCAGCTGACACCAACTTGCTTAACAAGAACACGAATGCTCTCCCAGAAACGCCCAAACAACTTGAGACAGCTCCATTTCTACAATCCTTACGAAACCCCACACCCTATAGACCCAGATACTGATTCGACTGACCATGTTTAAACGCTGAACAACTCTAGGGTTCTCAAGGCGTCTGGATGGGAACCGGTCTCTCTCAGATTTTGTGTTGAAGGGTGTTTCTTAGTTGTTACTGTGGTTTTTGAGAGTTGCATACGGGTTGCATGAGGGATATACAAGGGTTGTGCAAGTATTGTACATGGGCTTTGGCAGCAGCGTAGGTTCAGACTCTGTAAGCAGTGGGTTTTAGGATCTATCGCTGTAGCCTCCCGGTGGTTCACGAAGTCTCCATGATTTTCAGACTTTACCTTAAAAAGATGCTAGCCTGCCTTTTTGTAGGCTCTTGTTATTTGCCCTCATACAGAACGTACAGGGACCCTACACAAAAGTAGGTTTATTGGTAGTTCAAGGTAGGGTTCGGGATTAAAGCTCAGTCTCAGGGGTACTTAGAAATATTGTTTAACTTTTGGTTATTATAATCCCTAAGAAACAGCTAAAATCATAATTTTTGCTAGGGTTCCAAGTTCAGTATAGTTAAGGGATTAGGGTTTAGGCTCGGCTTAGCGGTTGGGTTTGATTTCGACTCTTGAAAGACCACCCTTCTGTGCGACGGCTCCAAATGCAGGCGGTCGCGGGAATTCGCCGATCGGAGGACAACTTTGTCTTGCCTTCTTGCAATTGTTAGTAGTCCAAACATGATGATGAAGAGTCTTCGCTGTCATGATTATGTATCGTCATTGGCGATGCTGGGTTGGTAGTTTGTCGCTGAACAGCAATCAGCAAAGGGACATTAAGTATGTCTATGGCCTATGGTTGTTGTTGTGTTTCTTGCTGCGGTCGTCGTCGTCGTCGTGGCGGTCATTGTAGATAGCCGCAGCAGGAGCAGCAGCACCAGCAGTGATCTAACAGATTCTAACAGCAAATATGAGCAGACATGCAGGCGGCAGAAGCAGCAGCAGTTATATAACATGTAGGAAGCAGCAGCAACAGCGCTGGTAATGAGAGGAGCACAAGGAGCAGCCACTCTCGTCGTCTCGCTCCAAAGAAGGTCTGACGACATGTGAAACAACAGATTATACCCGAGTTGGAGTCATCATCATCGTCATATTCGTCATCTTTATCTTCATTATCACCATGATGATCCTCATCATCATCATCATCACCATGGTCTTCAGACAGCTAGTGCACAGTTGATTTCGAAGCACCCTAAACCCGCAAACCCGCAAACCCCAAGCCAGAAACCTCAAAGCCTAAACCAGCAAGTCAAGTCATATGCCGCCGCCTGAAAGCCAGGAGATACCGAAACAGGCACTACTCGCCCCTAAGCCCTAAACCCTAAAACCCTAAGCCCCTAAACCCCTAAACCCTAAAAACCTAAAGCCTAAAACCCTAAACCCCCAAACAACTGAACCCTAAACCTCTCTCTCCAACTTAAATGTTAATGGTATTCGTGGGCAAGGTCAAAAAATCGTGGGCAAGGAACCGAAATTCGTGGGCAAGGTCCAAAAAATCGTGGGCAAGGTCGACAAATTCGTGGGCGAGGTCAAAAAATTCGTGGGCATCTCAAAAACTCTCAAAACGGACCTTGCCCACGATTTTTTTGACCTTGCCAACGAATCTTCGGGTCTGGTTCCGAAATTCGTGCGCAAGAAAATTCGGCGGCAAGGGTCGGAAAATGCGTGGGCAAGGTCAACAAATTCGTGGGCAAGGCCAAGACTGTCAAAGCGGACCTTGCCCACGAATTTTTGTTGACCTTGCCCACCAATTTTTTAGCTTTACCTTAACCCCAAGTAACCTACTTTTTTAAGGACTTATATATAAAGAAAGCATATTCGGGGAGCCTAAAAAGGTAGGTTCCCCACCAATTTTTCGTGGGGCAAGGCTCGGGGCTCCAACTTAAGGGTTTCGGCTTTAGGGTTTCGGCTTTACGATGTCTGACTGAGGGTTTCGGCTGTAGGATTTCTGACTGAGGGTTTCGGCCGTACTGAGAGGATCATGGGACTTAGTAAGTAGGTTATAACTGGTGTTATAAGTCCTGTAAGTGGGGTTATCCTAGTTGTAACCTACTTATAACCTGACTTACTAAGTCCTATGAGCCTTCAAGTAGGGTTTCGGGTTTACAGCAAAAATGGCAAAGCCTGCGCGGTGAAAAACACGGTTTTAAGGCGCCGCAATAACTAGATTAGGGTTTGGGGGTTCCTTTCAAAGGATCTAGAAGGGTTCTGTACTATAGGAGACTTAATATGTAGAATAGGGTTTTGGGTATATTATACTTTAATCAAATAAGGAACCCTCAAGATAGTACTGGTAATTATTTAAGCCCCTATGTTGCCCTGCCCTGCCACACGCCTCGTCTGGTGGCCTTTGACAAAAGAAAGAAAGCGCGGTTTGCCATGAGTTTGGGCCGAATCCGAAAAGGATGCCTTATACAGCGTGGGGTGGGGAGGGAAACAAGGAAAGGCCTTCTTTCGACAGGGTTTCCTTAGGGGTACTTAGATTTTTTTTTAATTCTTGGTTATTATAAGCCCTAAGAAACAGCTAAAAATATAATTTTAGCTAGGGTTCCAAGTTCAGTATAGTTTCGCTATAGTAGGCACTCCATGCAAACCTTGTCTAATGTCGCCTACTCCAAACCCCAACCCCCAGACCCTAAACCCCAAACCCTAAACCGCCAGGAGGGTGTGGATTCGCCGAAGCCCTGAGAGAGTTTTCCCAATCACAGGGTCTGATGTTGAGAGTTTCAGATTTATGGTTTAGGTTTCAGGGTTTCAGAGTTTGGGTTTAGGGTTCCGCTGGGGTTTAGTGTTTAGGGTTCGGTGTTTTGGGCCTAGGGTTTAACTGTCAGGGTTTCGAATTTGTGGCTTAGGGGTTCAATAACCCCTAAACCCTAAACCCTAAACCCTAGGTTTAATTAGACTCTGCGATGGCGTCGTACAGCCGGTTTCGGTCATAAGGCTCAGGGCTCGGGTTCCTGATGGACCAAATGACCCTTAAAAGTAGGGGCCCTATACCCACATACTATGAATCCCTATATGGTATATGAACCTTAAACCCTAGACCCTAAACCCCTTTTAGGGTTCATTTCGTCCTTAAGGTTGGCAATGTGCGGACAAAGCTGCCTCCAAGGGTGCCATGTGAAGTGATGTGCCCTCGGAAAAAGCCGCGGGCACGGAGTCAGGACATGTTGCGCCCTTACCAAGGCCTGAATATTCGCAATGGCGGGTTCGTTACAAACCCCAAACCCTGAACCCTAATCCCTAAACCCTAAACCCCCAAACCTGAAACCCTAAACCATGAACCCTAAACCCTAGCCTCCTTACACTACCTCTACATGTTTCTGTCTCGTTGTCTCCTCCCGGCTCTCCGCATCAATCTCGGTTTAGTAGGGTTAAGAGTTTAGGGATGTTTAGGGTTTCTCTCTATCTCTCGCTCTCGCTCGCTCGCTCGCTCTCTCTTTGTCTCCCTTTCCAGTCTGTCATTGCATGTGATTGCTACGTCTGCTCTCACGCTCACTGCCATTGCCAGATTCAGGAATGTTCCCATCTCTGCTGTAGTTTATGTGACGTCCGTCTGAGTTTCCTGATGACGGCCGTTGTTATTGCAATTGCTGGCACTGTCTCTACCACTCGCGGCTACTGGTGTGGATGTTTTGTCTCTGGGTACTACCGCCCCACGCCCTGTAATTTAACATGAAGGCTTTGCGCCTGGATCCCTTTCCCATGTACACTCCTCGCACAAGGCCCCTGAAAACCCCTCCACCCTAAACTATTTTGTATAGTATAAGTTCATGCTCCAGGGAATTATACCTACTGCGCCACACTAGCAACGTAAAGCGGACCTCCGCCTTCTCCGCGGCATTTGTGCATGCTACTGAGAAGATCCTCTGCCGTCGAAGCCTTCGTCCCGGGATTTTCGGACATGTCGCGCATGAGTGCGATGAGCAGCGGCGACGACCACGACCCTGACGACCACAACGACCGCGATGACGACCACGACGACCACGATGATGACGATCACTTCGGACGCAGCTCCTTATACTACCCTCTTACTGCCCTTACTAGAACTTGGTTATCCTGACATACGGACCTATATGACTCTGTCCCAAGCCTTGAACCCGACACGCTAAGTTCCAGCTCCGTCCCTGGAAACTACAAGAACTTCCTATCCGTAGAGTAGGTAACCTTCAGCTTCAACCTTTCTACTCTACTATAGCCTCCATATAATCCCAAAGGTTAGCTTTTCGTTCCCGAGTAGGCTTATGAAGAAAATACAAACCCATGAACTCTCCAAAACCCCCCCCCCCCCCCCCAGCCCTAGTGAATCCAATACCCCTATTCGTTCCTCCACCTTTGCCCTCGCAGTTTCTGCTCGTCAGCTCGAGATCCTTTACGGTTTAGGGTTTCGGGCTCTCTCTCCCTTAAACCCTGCCACTTCCACTAAACTCTGCGGACGCGGTGCAAAACGCTAAGGACTTCAAGGCTACCCTAAAGCCGTAAGCCCAAAACAGTGTTTCGAGTTCTAAATCCTCAACCCTGCACCTCGACACTCGGAACTCGGGACTTCTTAGTGCCTTCGCCAGGTTTTGGGGTTTCTGGGTTTGGTACCTTAGATCCCCAATACCCAACCTTTAAACTGTCGGGGTTCTTGTAGTTAGTAGGAATCGGAAAGTTTAACCTTTTATTTCTGTGGCTTAGTGGGGTAGAAAGGTACAAAAGGCTTCACTTCTCTTGCTTGACCGCCAGAACACTCTCCCCCAAAGGACCCTGAGTACCCGTTACTGGAACCCTAAACCTTAAACCCTAAAACCCTAAACCCTAAACCCTAAACCCTTAAACCCTAAAACCCCAAAACCCCAAAACCCTAAACCCCTAAACCATAAAACCCTAAAATCCCAAACCCTCAACCGCTGCTTCATGGCACATGTAGCCTGCTGGAGCACGGAGGACGTGGCGCAGCCCCTGAGCTGGAAGAGCCCAAGTCGGTAAAACACCTTTCTTGGCTGTAAACTCAACTTTTCAACTTTTGGGGTTCTTATAAGGTAGTCGATTCTGAAAGTTTCAACTTTTATTTCCGTGGCTTTTGGGCCAGTGAGCACTTTAGCCTTGTAATCGGATTAAGTGTGGGGTTTATAGGGCCTATACAGTACCTCAATATATAGATCAAATCAAGGAGCGTTTGACTGTACTTAGGATCGTGTTTTGGGTTTGGGAGTCGTCTGGGTTGCTCTTTCTTCTTGTCCACAGGAATCTCAAAAAGCTGCAGTTGTCTCTTGCTGACGTGCTACCCTCCGTGTTACAGATTATCTTTCAGTCAAGCACGCAGCAAAGGTCCTGAAATATGTGAGCTCCCCTCTGAACAACTGCAAGTCCTAGCTCCTAAACCCCTGTAAGCCCTTTATACAGGCCCCTTTTCAAGATCTGCACAAGAATGCGAGCTCAAGAAGCCTTGAACCCTAATCCTTGACTGCAAACCCTCTAAACGCACCGAAAACCTTGAACCTCAAACCTAAGCCTGAAACCCTAAACCTTACATGTTCTCGCAACCCGAAGCTCGAGTTCTCATCACTCAACCCTCCCTCAAACCCTAAACCCGAAACCCAAAACACTAAACCTAATCGAGTTTGATGTTGAAGTCTCTGGTCGGCTTTGAGCGGATCTTTTGGATCTGTCTTCAAGGTGACACGCT